CTCCTTCCTCCAGTCTACGGAGACTTGGCTGCAAGGAGCAGGCACCACCTTTCTCATTATCCTCTAGTCACCAAACTAGCGCCACCAGCTCTGGCCATTTGGATAACTAACGATTCCTTCTTTCAAGAAGAGGACTGAAACCTGGGTTTGCAAAGCTAGATATCATCTGATAGAAAATAAGTGGAATGAGGGTATGTAAAAGGACCAGTATCTATCTCTGGTTTCTTAAAAATCACCTTTCCGTTGTGACAAAAGATAGCCTGGCCCCAGCAGAGGCTGCTATTCCCAAGTGTGACATGCCCTCCCAGAACAAGCCCCTCCAGTACAAAAGCAAGACAGCGTGGCCCAGCTCCTGCAGTAATTCAGTAACTGCAAAGTCCTTCCCAACTCTGGAAAAGCATTTCTAAAAAGGGAACAGAGGCAGGCGGAGACAGGTTTCTATTGCAAAAGCAATCTCCCTTTCTATAGTCATTACCTTGAAGCAAGGACTAATGGTTGGGGGCCAGCGCACAGGGTCCTTGAGGATGAGGTTGACCAGTTGGAAGATGCTGGTGGTATAGAAGGGAGGGGTGCCTACAGCCAGCTCATAGAGGATGCAGCCCACAGACCAGAGGTCTGCCGTGTGGTCGTAGGGTCGCTCTTCCACCAGTTCTGGGGACATGTAGAGGGGCGTGCCTTTGATGGACGTTAGCACCATTGTATTGGTGCTCATAGCCCGGGCAAATCTGCAGGCGATGGGATGGGAATGTAAAGAGAGAAGACAGTCAATAAAACTAGACCTGGTAGGTACTCCCTCTCATTGTGTGAGATGTCCCAAACCCAAACAGAGCACCCTCCAAAAGACCCAGCAGGTCCCCATCTGCAGCTCAGGTTCTAAAACGAGGCCCGTGTAAGCCAAGCGAATGGTCTAGGACTCCCTGCAGGACTGGAAGCAGAGATGGAAGGTCAGCCTCCTCACCCAAAGTCACAGAGCTTGATGCCACCACCCTTGGCAAGGAGGATGTTCTGAGGCTTCATGTCTCGGTGGAGGATGCGGTGGGAATGCAGGTAATACAGGGCTGACACTAACTGGGCCGCAATGGCTTGAACCTAGGGATCAGCCAAGTGGGAGGAAGAAAGGAGAGGTCAGAGGAAGAAGCCTGATCAGGAGCCCAAAGACTCCTCCCTAACACTACAGCCGATGTGATCATCTCTCCCCTATCTTTGAGCTTCACACAATATCTTCTATAGTTCTTGCTCCCCTATTCATTCATTCTTTGATTTGTTCATTCACTCATTCAAAGAACATTTATTGAGTCTCACTAACTGCATGACTATAGACAAATTATCTTGTGCCTCTCAGATTTTTCATCTATAAGATGACAATAATCAAACCCTCTATCTCACAAAATTATTATGAGGATTAAATGAGTTAAAGCATGTAAAGTGATATAATGCTCAGAATGGTGCCTGGCATTTAGTAAGCATTTGATATGCATTAGCTGTTATTAAGACAAATCCCTTTTTCAAAAGAAGTAATCAAAGAAATAAGACAGACAAAAGGAATAAGACGATGAATTACCAGTGATGATGAGTGCTCATAAGAAAACAGAATGCTGCAACAAAAAGCCCCGAGGAGGGCTTACTTGCTAGAACACAGGAAAGCGCCTAGAATAAGCGTGGCTGGAAAATGTGTTCAACCAAATCCCGCCGCTAACCTCTACGTCTTGATGGCGAATCTTGCCTTAACCATAACCCTCATACCTTCCTGTCCTCTCTGGAACCACCATACTAGCCCTTCTTCCCTAATGTCACCCAATAACAAAACACTAATAAGAGCTAAACACTATTGTGTTTTAGGAACTCTTCAACCATTTTACATGAATTAACTCATTAATCCCCACAGTAGCTTTATGAGATAGACATCATTATTTTCATTTTAAAAAGAAGAAACAGCCCTGGCTGGTGTGGCTCAGCTGGTTGACACACTGTTCCACACACCGAAAGGTTGCAGGCACAAACCGATGTTGGGAGTTATATTCCTAGTTGGGGTGCGGGCAGGAGGCAACCAATCAATGTTTCTCTCTCACATCAATGTTTCTCTCTCCCTCTCTCTTTCTCTCCCCCCGTTCCTCCTCACTCCTTCTAATATAAATAAATTAATTAACTAAATAGAAAGAGGAAACTGAGCACAAAGAGGTCCAAGTAGCTTACCCAAGGGGATCCAGCTAGAAAGTGGCAGAGCCAACCTTTGTATTCAAAGATTTTGGCTTCACGGTTGATATACTTCACTGTCACACCACATGGCCTCTATATACATCCAGATTCTTATATTTTTCTCAGGAATTTTTTTTAAAATATATTTTTTATTGATCGTTTACAGAGAGGAAGAGAGAGGGATAGAGAGTTAGAAACATCAATGAGAGAGAAACATCGACCAGCTGCCTCTTGCACACCTCCTACTGGGGATGTGCCCGCAACCAATGTACATGCCCTTGACCGGAATCGAACCTGGGACTTTTCAGTCCGCAGGCCGACGCTCTATCCACTGAGCCAAACCGGTTTCGGCTTCCCAGGAATTTTCAAAATGCAGACTCTCAGTGCCCTCAGCGTTCCCTGCCAGTCCTTTACCTAAAGACAGCTGGGGGCAGGGAGACGTTTGAGCCTGGAGACATACCTGGTCTTCAGGAAGTTTTCCATCGTCTTCCAGAATCTGAAAGAGCTCCCCCTCGGCATAGTCTGTCACCACCACCACCTGAGAGGCAAAGGCAAAGACACGGATGGCTCCAGGATTGTGCATGAAGGCTGGGAAGTTCCCAGGGCCCTTCTTCGTGGGGAGAGGTGACCCCAAGCCAACACGCACCTCTTTATCGGTCTCAAAGCTGTCGAGCATGTGCACGATGTTGGGGTGCCGCAGGCCCCGCATGATCTCAATCTCCCGCTGCAGATTCCTCAGCTCTTTCTCGGAGCGCCCCAGTTTTGGAATGAACTTCAGGGCCACCACCTGTTCAGAGGTGAGAGGAAGAGTCAAGGCCTCAACACACCGCTGAAACTTCAGCCTGAGAACTCCGGAAGCGAGACTTTGGATTGAGCAATTGTCATTGTAGCTGCTAGTCTCCCACTCCACTCTCCCCGTGGTACTGTGTCCTTGCTCAGCCTTTCCTTCTTCCCCTTGCCCTAGTGCAGTGGTCGGCAAACTCATTAGTCAACAGAGCCAAATATCCACAGGACAACGATTAACATTTCTTTGGAGAGCCACATTTTCTAAACTTAAACTTCTTCTAATGCCACTTCTTCAAAATAGACTCGCCCAGGCCGTGGTGTTTTGGTCAAGGGGCCAAAGAGCCGCATGTGGCTCGCCAGCCGCAGTTTGCCGACCACAGCCCTCAGAGTCTCTAACAGACCGAACCCTTTGGTGAATTCTGGGACAGGTGTTCCGGTCAAAGTAAAAAACTCAATATTTAAAGAATTTAGAGGAAATAGAAGGGAAAAAATGGAGAATAGAGTTCAGGTGGTTTATTTCTTCCTGTACAGGGTAAGGACTAATAGCAGTGATCATACTTATTTACTTGTAACATTACATTTACTCCTCACACCCCACCAATCAGATACTATACTATCTTCACTCTGTAGATGAGGAAACTGGGACAGAGAGAGGTTCAGTAACTTGTCCAGTTCTAAGGCTAGAAAGTGGTAGAGTGAGGATTTGAACCCAAGTAATCCAATCTCAGAGCTCACACTGCCTAAGTAGGAAGGAGTCGGTGTCTTAGGAATACAGGTTGGTATGGATGCTTGCTTCCCTTCTGGCCCCATTTTTCACTGGAGTTGGAGGTGTGGAATCCCAACCAAGAGGGGTCCCTCTTCTGTCACCACCTGCGCACTGTATTTCCTCCGGCCCTTGTACACCCTCCCGAAAGAGCCTTCTCCGATCATCTCCAGCACGTGGTACTTCTCCATGACAGAGGCCCCAGGGCTTCTCCGGGGGAAGCAGGGATGGCGGTGGAGAGCTCCAGCTCCACACGGCTCCACACATCTGGGAAGCCTGGTGGGCACATGGCGGAAGGTTCATGTTAGCCACCGTGCGTTTTCCTCCTCTTCATCATAACCCAGGCCCCAGGCCCCGAGAGCGGAGCGAATGGAAAGAAGATAAAAGCTCAGAGCAGCCTAAACCGGTGTGGCTCAGTGGATAGAGCCTCGGCCTGTGGACTGAAAGGTCCCGGGTTCGATTCCGGTCAGGGGCATGTACGTTGGTTGCGGGCACATCCCCAGTAGGGGGTGTGCAAGAGGCAGCTGGTCGATGATTCTCATCGGTGTTTCTAGCTCTCTATCCCTCTCTCTTCCTCTCTGTAAAAACTCAATAAAAGATATTATAAAAATATAAGTTTAAAAAAAAAAAAAGCTTCGAGCAAATAGCCTCTTGTAGTTCTCCCTCCTTTTCAGCCTCCTCAAGTCCCCAACCCCACCTCGCGCCCACCCACGGCCCGTCTCCTTCCCCGCTTCCCGCGGCCTCCCGCACCAACCCCACCCCTGGCGGCCGCCCCCACGGTGTGGCCGCCGCCCACCTCCTCAGCGACCCGGCGGCGCCCGCGCCCACGCCCCCCGCACGGTCCGCGGCCCGAGCTCCGCCTCGCCCGGCCCCGGAGCTGCCCGCCCCCCAGGCCGAGGCCCGGCTCCGGCCCGCCCCGCCCCTCGGGCTGCCCGCGGCCTCTGCCTGACTTAAAATCCCCCCGGCCCCGCCGCCGGCCTCCTGAAAGACGCCTGTGGTCACCAGCCGTGCTCGCTACAACCAGGCAGAGCCCACAGGGCACAGGCGTTCGGAGGTGTGGGGAAGGGGGTGGGCCGTCCTCGGGCACGTTTCAGGGCACTTCCGAGCCGCCTCTGGGCTCTCAGGACCCCATCAGGACCCCGAGTCCGCGGTTGCATAGCGACCGCCGCTCAGCCACGCAGCCGCCGTTCCCTCAACTTTCTGCCTCCGAGTAACCCGGGAGTGTTTCCGGTTCCGGCTGCGGGCCGGAGGAGACATGGAGGCGTCTTCGTCGGCGGCGGCAGGGGAGGAGGACTGGTAACTTTGGGGCAGGGGCTGTGGCGGGCCGCCTGCAGCCGGTCCAGGGGACTGGCGGCGCCGCGGACGGTCCGCTTGGCGCGCGTGTGGGGCGGAGCGAGGGGGGCGGAGACGCCGACATCTTCCTCTGAAGCTCTGGGCTGGGGCGGCTGGGTGGAGGGGCGCTGATCCAAGCGACAGACGGCGGGGTGTGCGCCGGCCAGGCCCGCGAGCGCGCCCTCTCTGGCTCAGCCCTCCTCCGGCCTCACCCGTCCCTCGTCTCCCCTGGGCCCCGGGGCCGCCGGCTCCCGCCCCCCGATGTCGCCCTGGAGGACCCAGGGCTGCGGTCTGAGTAAGCTTACACTCGTCCTTCTCAGGCGTGCCCGCGAGCCCAGCCCTGGAGGACGCGGTTCGCCCCTCGCTCCACCGGCTGTGCGGGGCCTCCGGCGGGCGGGAGGGCGTGGCGGCTGCTCGGGGCGGCCGAGGGGAGCGCGGTGGCTCTGCCGCAGGCCGGCCCCGGGTGCGGGCCTGCAGGTAGAGAGGTCTGCCCAGAGGCCATAGCTATGGCCAGGAGCACAGGTCGTCCGTTTCCAACGCCTGTCTCCGTAGTGCTAGGGCAGCTGCAGTGACCTGCCCCCTTTGTTTCCGTCACAATTTCCCGCCATCCCACCCATACTTCCCGGCTGGACTGAGTGAAATAGGACGCCGAGGGGCCTCTGGGTGGAGGCCGCCCCTCAGTGTTTTGTTGACTCAGAAAGCTTTAGTGAAATCATCCAGACTCGAGGTTTTCAGCCTGTTTAAAGGAGACATCTTCTGAGGAGACGCTTTGATCCGTGGAGAGGGCAGCAGTGATTGCACAGCTGGCCTATGTGAGATTAAAAAAAAAAAAGTTTTGGGCCCTGGCTGGTGTGTCTCAGTGGTTAGAGCATTGGGCCTAGCATGGAAGGGTCTAGGGTTGAATTCCTGGTCAAGGGCATGAGCTTGGGTTGTGGGTTTGCTCCCCACACCCAGTTGAGGTCCAAGCAGGAGGCAACTAGTCGATGTGTCTCTCTCACATCAATGTTTCTCTCCTTTCACTCTCTGAAAAAGCAATGGAAATGAGGATTAAAAAGAGAGTTAGTTTTGAGAACCACTAATAAAAAGTCATGCTAAGAGCAGTGTTGCTCTTGCTAAAGAGGAAACAATATACCTGTAAGAAAGCAAACTATTTATGCATCTTTTCATGTGTTATCAGTGTCACCTCCAAGGTCATTGTGACTGCTGTTTCTGCGATTTAAAATGTGTGTCCTCGCCGAAACCGGCGTGGCTCAGTGGATAGAGCGTTGGCCTGCAGACTGAAAGGTCCCAGGTTCGATTCCCGTCAAGGGCATGTACCTTGGTTGCGGGCACATCCCCAGTAGAGGGTGTGCAAGAGACAGCTGATTGATGTTTCTCTCTCATCGATGTTTCTAACTCTATCCCTCTCCCTTCCTCTCTGTAAAAAATCAATAAAATATATATTTTTTTAAAATAAAATAAAATAAAAAATAAAATGTGTGTCCTCAGGGGGAAGAAATGAGGAACCATTGTAATAATATGAACAATAAAGATTGATTTTAAAAAATTAAAATAAAATAAAATACAGTGTGTCCTCTGATTTACATCAGGACCACTGCATCCTGACTTGGACACGTTAATACAACAGGGTCACAAATACACTGAATACTAACATATCCCTCTTTCCTTTTAAGGGAAAAGGTTATATACAAATATAGGTTAGGTACTATGGCCAAGAGGCCACTAGATACCTTACATAAACAAAGCCCTTTCATCCTTACAATAACCCTAGAGAGTAGTTGGTGGTATTGATTGATATATGTTAGACAGGGTGACTCAGGCTTACAGAGATAAGTAACTACTCAGAGCACATGGTGCTATGTGTTTGGTACCTATTGACTCAGGCTGATGGCTCTTCCACTACAACACAGCAACATAGCTTTTATATCACCTTGCTCTTTTCAGATGGTATCCCCTTTGAGAAGGTTGAGGGTAATTAATATTGGCAGTATATGTAAATACTGTGATCCACATGAACAATAGTGTAGAGAAAGCCAAGAGTGGTATCGGTAACCTTGATGGTAATCAATGCACATCATATTTTTGGGTCAGAGAGATGGCCACTAAGGAACAATCAACAAAACTTGAATAGGGAGTCAGGAAACCAGGTTCTCATCTGAGTGCTGCCTGTTAAGCCTTGAGATTTGTGCTAGTAATTTCACCTTCCTGAGAATCTGTTTCCTCATCTGTTGGCAGAAATGATCTCTAAAACTCTGTCTCTCTAGGGTCCTTCCCTCAGAAATCGAGGTGTTAGAATCTATCTATCTGGATGAACTGCAAGTGATTAAAGGAAATGGCAGGTGCGTATTCTTACAGAGGTAGACATGAGTCCCCTTAGAAATGAGACGTTTCCATGCAGAATCTGTGAGCCTTGATTCAAAAATGTTTCTCTCGTGTAGATAAAGACTGTTCCTTTTATTCCCCCATCACCACCACCACCAAAAAAAAGGGAGCCTGTTGCTTACTTCCTCTGCCCGCTTTACTGTCTCACCCCAACCCTCCAGCCCCTGCCCAGTCACATCCCAGGTCTCCACTTCATCCACCTGCAGGGCTTCGCCATGGGAGGTCTGCATCACCCTGCACCCTGCCACGGCAGAAGACCAGGACTCTCAGTACGTCTGCTTCACTCTGGTGCTTCAGGTCCCAGCCCAGGTGAGGCCCCTACCTCACTGCAGCAAAGGGGGGAAGAGGACAGTCTAGGGTGGGGTGCGTTAGCAGTAATTTGTGGTTTTCTCCTACTAGTATCCCAATGAGGTGCCACAGATCTCTATTCGTAACCCCCGAGGACTCTCAGATGAACAGATCCACAAGTAAGCAGGCTGTCAGAGCAGGAAAACTCAGGATGCAGCTCAGTCTGGGGAGGGAAGGAAGCAGGCCTAACGTTTGGTTTGCTTTCTTTCTCCAGGATTGCACAGGCCCTGGGCCACGTGGCCAAGGCTGGGCTGGGGACTGCCATGCTCTATGAGCTCATCGAGGTAAGAGGTCCTCTAGCCTGGGAGATGTCCTTCCTTTCAAGGGGAGCCTTGGCCTGGAATCATGAGTATGTCTGTGTTCATCCAATCAGTCCTTGTTCTGGTAAGGTCTAAACCCAGAAAGACAGGACACTTCCGTTTCAGAAAAAGCTCCCAACAGGACAGTTCTGTAGCTCTCCCAAGTTGCCTAATCCAGCATCTTGATAGAAAATTACATTTCTTCTTTAACTTGCATTAGTCTTGCTTTAGTTTCAGTGCATTTCTTGTTTTCTTGGCACTGGCATGAAAGTAGCAAGAGATGGATCCCACCTGGAGGGTCTCTGCCATAATGAATATTTGAAGGCTGGTGTGCCATTAGAGCTCATTAGAAAGTCATGGATCTTTACAGAGTTTCTGTCCCAGTAAAGGAAACCCACACAAAGCACCACCTAAAACTACAAGTTAACGTACAAAGGTCACTATAGCCGTTTGAAATTTAAACACACAATTAAGTACAGTCTCGTTTTCCCCTACTTTGAGTTCTTTAGAGAGATGTTCAGGAAAGAATATAGGTGGGTGGTCGGTGTCAGAGTGCATGGGACAGTGCAGCACTCCTGAGTCAGGCCTCCACAGAGCAAAGTTGGACTCTGTGGAATCCCAAAGTATTGAGTATTGAAACAACAGTGCACATGCATATTTGATAGCTCATCTTGATGCCTTTGAGTTCTCTGTCCCTTTGGGTTGTCCGTGCCTTGGTTTTATTCCACAACAAACTCCCTGGGGCAATGATTTCGAGGGGGCTAACTGTGAAAGGCCTCCTAGAAGGTGTTTTCATTGAACACGTTTTTCCTCTAAGATACATCATTTTCATCCTCAAGAGCTGTGAAAGGTGACTGAGTGGGAGGACAGATTGGATTTTGACTGGCAGTTTGGCTGAGGGTCAGGGACTTAGAGCAGGATTGATTCCCAGCAAAGGGAGCATCACTGAGACAGAAATGTGTGCACACGAGGTAACAGACCGGTGTGGTGGGAGACCAGTTACTCCTGGGAGTAGTGATGGTTTTACTCACAGTTCTTGCTGCTGCCCCCGTTTGAACAGTGTCCTCTCTCCTCGCAGAAAGGGAAGGAAATCCTCACAGATAACAACATCCCACACGGCCAGTGTGTCATCTGCCTCTATGGCTTCCAGGTGGGTCTCTCTGTGACCTGGGGTCTGCTTAGGGCAGACAATGGAGGGCTCGTGAGAGCTCGGATGCAGCGCCGTGTCCATACTCCCTCCAGGAGAACGAGGCCTTCACGAAGACACCGTGTTACCACTACTTCCACTGCCACTGCCTCGCCCGGTACATCCAGCACATGGAGCAGGAGCTGCGGGCTCAGGGACAGGATGCGCAAGAGCAGGAACGGCAGCATGCCACAGCCAAACAGGTCGGCCCGCCAGACCCTGCTCATGTTTGACACCACTGACAACAGCGCCCCCCCCCCCCCCGCCCCGCCCAGTCCAGTCCAGGGCTGTTAACCTTCTTTTGGCCATGAGTGAACACTCACTTCTGTTTGGAAACAGGCATGCCTGTGCCTTCTGCCCAGCCCTCGGCAGATGTGGCTGGGCAGCTGGTAATCGCCCTGGGCTGTGAAACAGGTGTGGTTTTCTCCTCTCTTTTTAGAAGGCTGTTGGTGTGCAGTGTCCAGTGTGCAGAGAGCCCCTCGTGTATGATCTTGCCTCACTAAAAGCAGCCCCTGAACCCCAACAGCCCATGGTAAGGAACCCCCTTCCTAATGAGGCAGGAACAATGGTATTCTCCAAGGGGGAGGAACGGCATCTTGTTTGCCTTGAATGGGCTCAATCTGAGACCTCTACCAAGCCACAGCCCCCACTGGGAGCCCAAGTCTGAGGGATAAAAGCCAAGAACTGTGCCCAGATTTCCTGAGGCAGTCCTGGGAGAGCAGGGGCTCAGGTCTACCTTGTGTTTACTTTCCCCTCCGTCCTACCAGGAGCTGTACAAGCCCAATGCAGAAAGCCTGCGCCAACAGGAAGAGCTAAGGCGGCTCTACCAGAGGCAGCAGGAGAGGGGGGGCATCATCGACCTGGAGGCTGAACGTAACCGGTACTTTATCAGCCTGCAGCAGGTGAGGAAGCCGTTTCCCATCCTTCCCTAGCAACACGAAGTTTCCTATGAACACCCCCTGCCATGCCCTAGGGTGAGCTTTGTTCCACCGGGGGCGGGTTACGGGCTGACGGTGGCCACTCCAGTCAGTGGGCAGAGGCCTGTGTTCCCTTTGGGAAGCTGAGTCTCCTTCACTGCCTCCGCTCACTTTTTCCTAGCCACCTGCCCATTTGGAACCTGAGTCAGCTGTAGATGCCTCCAGAGGATCCCAACCGCTCAGTGCCCTTGCCACAGAACTGTCTCCTTCATCCACTGCCCAACCTACCCAGTCAGCTCCTCTGCCTGTGGCTTCCCAGTATATGTGCGAGAAGATTCCAGGGACTGGGCCAAATCAACAAAGATTGAGCGAGACACAGAAAACTGTCCTGGATACCCCCCGGACCAACCGAGGCCCCGGGAGACAGCCTGAACGGAGGCACCTAAAGGGAGAATACAATGCCCACAAAGGTACCAAAGACACCCAAGAACTGCCACTTCCTGAGGGGCCCTCCAAGGAGCCCATGGACATAAAGCCAGAAGAACCCCGTAACCGAGGGGTTGGAGGTCCTTCCCAAGAGAATGGGCCTGGCAACTGTCAGGGTCCCCCGCCCCGCAGGACTCGGGACTGTGCTCGCTGGGAGCGTTCCAAGAGTCGGACACCAGGTTCTTCCCACCCCCGCCTGCCTCGGGGTCGGGGAACCTACTCACCTGGTACTCGAAGGGAGCCCGTGAGCCTGGAATCAGAGGATGGTTCCTAGCAGTACTGTGGTGGGGCAGGGAAATGGGGTAGGAGGGGGGCAATAAAGAGATTTGGCCTTGTTTGGCTTTCTTTGCTCAGTAGCACCAAGCCTGTGAAGTATGGCTGTCTTCCTACATTCCTAGCAAGGCTGGAGTGTGCCAGAGCAGCCTCCACTTTGCCCTGAGATCTGTATCCATGAGATCAGGTCTAGGTCAGAAGGGCCTGGGGTGGTGGGTTTCAGGGAAAACTAGTGGATGCCAAAATTTAAGCCATCTGCAGGAAGCACCCTACCATGTAACCCACTGTGTATATCCACATTTTATTTATGTATATGGTGACCCTCAAAAATGTAAACACACTTTGATAACTCAATTTTGATAATGAAATGTACTTTAATAAACAGTGCCTTTATAGTTATTCAAAGTGGTATGCATTTATGGGGGACACCATATATACATGCTTTTAGGTGGGGGCTGGACTTTCTGTTTCCTAGTGTCTTCTCTCCCCCCTTCGGCCAAGCTGTGTTGCTGACACTTGTATAGCTGGATGCTTGATGGCTCCTGTGATTGCAGCCCCTGCCTTTTACTCAAGCACCAATACAGGGAAGTCAGAGACCAGAGTAGTGAGGCAGGTGTTTATTGATCCACTAGGATAGCTGAGCAGGACCCAGTTGTCACCTCCTCAGGGTCTCGACATTCTGCATTGCCCCTGCAGGGTCGTTTTTATACAGCATGAAGTAGCCCTGCACCTGCGCAGGACTAATCTCAGTTGTAGTTTTAAGAACACGTTCTGCAAAGACTTTCGCCAAAGCAGGTGCTTGCCCGGGATAGAACCTCTGGAACATCTGGGTCAGCTGCCAGTCTGAGCAGTAGCCCACGTACTCCTTCATGTCTACTCGCCCCGGGCGTATCAGGGCAGGGTCCAGTCTAAGGAAAAGGCAGCAGAGTCATGGATAGTATTGCCACTGGTACCCCCAAAATGATGGTTCCCTCTGAACTTTCTGATTCGCCCAAGGTACAGAGCTGGTGAAGTCTAGCCTCAGTGTCTCTCCTTCCTACCTTTCAACATGGTTGGTAGTCATGAACACAATGCGGGCCTCAGTGGAAGCCACACCGTCCAAGGCATTGAGCAGTCCACTGAAGGTGAGACGACCTAGACCTTGGTACTTGACTGGGTCTAGAGGAAGGGAGAGATGAAAAAGCAGAGCTGGTCAGTCACGGTCCTACTTAGCACATTGCAGACCGGCAGTTTTATTGCTAGCTTTACCCAGTGGCCAGGAAAGTTTCTATTGAATGAGTACAAAGAACATTTCACATAAATGTTCAAGGCATTCCTTAAAATTAAATACCCACTACATTTTGAAGTTATTACATATTCTTGCAAGCTAATACCTTTTTTAAAAAATATATTTTATTGATTTTTTTTTTTAATAGAGAATAGTTGAGAAACATCAATGAGAGAGATACATCGATCAGCTGCCTCCTGCACACCCCCTACTGGGGATGTGCCTGCAACCAAGGTACATGCCCTTGGCCGGAATTGAACCTGGGACCCCTGAGTCCGAAGGCCGACACTCTATCCACTGAGCCAAAACAGGGCCTAATATCTCTTTAATACTGTGATTGGCTACAAGCCTTAGAACAGAAAACACGAGAATTCTCATGATCCGTCTGCAATAGCGCTTTCTATTCGCCACCACATTCCCTACTTATCTGAGCCTCTTCTCGGCTCTTGTTGCTAATCCAGCCATCCTCCATAGCTTTCTGGGTTTCTTCTACTTTTCCTCATTTAGAAAGCCCCCCTTCCTCACTCCCTTCACTTACTCTCCACAGCCAGATCTCTGCTGAGAAAAGCAGCATCCACGTCCTCCAGGAGCACCAGGCTCTGCTGTGGGGCTGCGCTCAGCAGGTGGTTGAGCCGGTCATCGGAGAGGCTGGAGTCTGTGAGGCTCAGCAGGCAGATGCTGTGCTCCAGCTCCCCAGCCAAGGCTGTGCTATGGAGGATGGAGGACAGGTGGTTGGCAATCTGGGAATTCGTCCTTGGGCCCAACTGCTCCTCCCTCACTACACTAGATGTGTCAGGCCTAACCCTTCCGCCGCCCCACCCTAATGTTCCACGTGTGTTATTTTTATCCTGGTTCCTGTTCTCCACATTTATTTCCCTTTCCAATCCCATCAACCAGTTTTTCTCCAGACAGGGTTAAGAGTAACGACACTACTCACATAAAACTGCTCTTTCCACAACCAGGGGGCCCATAAAGCAGGTAGCCACGTCTGTAGGGAATGCCTGGGAAGACAGCCAGGATGATCATTAAGACTTCCAGCCAATCATGTACTCTGCCCCAGATATCTGCATTCATTCCTCACCCCATTCCCTGGAGGACCAAAGACCTGAATATGAGAAGAAATCATCCCCATCGGCAACTCTCTTTTCCCCTTCCTCTCTCGGGATTGGGCTAGTGCTGTACCCACCCCATCTGGCCACACGGTTTCCTCCTGCTCTACCATCACATCAAAAACAGCATGGCCAGGACCCCAGCTGCTGCTAACCTCTGTCAATGTACCACTTGGGGTTATCGATGAATTCCCGTATGTCCTTGAGAATTCGGTCAGCCAGACCCTGTTCTAGAACCACAGAGTTCAGTGGCCGCCGCCGGCGTGGATATCCAAAGGGGCGCCATTCAGAGCCCACGGCTGTGTGCATCACTGTTTTCCCTTCTTCCTGTTCCAAGGCCAGTGCTCGAGCTAGGAGGGAAGAGATGAGACAAAGCCAGTATTACTCTCTGCTGTGCAACTAAGGCAGAGCTATGCCAAAACCGCTTACCCCAGCCCCCTGAACCCATGGGCTCAGATCCTCCAAGCTTCCCTTCCTCTGATGGCGAATGCTCCCAACCCTGCATCTCCCCCACAGAGCCTGCCTGTGTCCTCCCACACCTTCCTCCAAGATGTTGAAGAAAACCTTGCGGTCAGTGCCCAGGGCTGTGAAGGTGACGGATTCCCAAGGAGTGCCCGTCTGCAGGTCTATCATCTGCATCTCTCGGCTTCGTACCACTCGGATCCATTTCCCCTGATACCTGAATGAGAGAGAACGGTCAAAACGGGTGAACGAAGGTGTCACACCCAGCTCCCCTCATTCTCCTTTGCGACTCTCAGAGCGGTCCCTGGCTCCCAGCCTTACCAGATAAAGTGGTTTCCAGGGCTGGGGATAAATTCAAACTTAGTAGAGATGCGGCCACTCTCATGCTGAAGGTACGAGGTCTCGACGCTGAGGTGCTGCGTCCGGGTACTGTAGCGGGTGAGCCAGCTAAGCAGCCAGGCATAGCTCCTGTCTCGAGCCGGGACTTCCAGTGTGATCATGTAATGGCGCCGGAATGCCACCAGGCCCAGCTGGGCACCCTTCCGGGCCAGGGCCAGGGCTGTGCCCACACCCACCAGCCCAAATCCAGCCCCAAAGTAGGGATTGTCCTTCAGGGTCAGAACAAAGTCTGAAAGGGGCATCTTGAAAAGGAAATACTGAACCTTACAGGTCCTGAGACAACTTCAAAACCTGGGGATGGGGCGCAGCGGGAATGGGGGGAAACACAAGATTAGTTAAGCAACTGGACTCCTCAACCCCTCCCTCCTGCAAAAGCTGGGAATGGGAGCGGGTCAGTCACTGGGCACTTCAGGAGTTGGTGGTGGTGCTGGAATGCAAGGGCTAAGGCTCCAGGCCCCTTCTCCCATCTGCCCTTCATTTTCCGGTTCATTCTTCAGTTTCCTGCCAAAGGACTTGTCTGGGGAACCCTGAGAGAACAAGGTAACTGCCTTCAACAGGATAATGGACAGAATTTGTGTGGCCCCTGGGACCTGCTGAGATAGAAAGGGTCAGCAGGGATGAAGCCATTCTCTCCCGTTGACCTGTCATGGTCACCATGCCTGGTTACAATGAGTAATGTCCTTCAAATATCCTCTCCTTTACATGCTCAATCCCCAATGTCCTGTTTAGCCCTTTAACATCTCCCATCTGAGATATTAAAGAAGTTTAGTTCTTGAAATGCTATCCGAGTAGGGAGGTCTCCATCTCTGCTCACCAAACTGGTACACAGGGGTCCATTTCTTCCTTCATAAAGATCGGCCTGCCCTACTCCCAACACCTCTCAACCGATCCCTGAATTAGGTAAAAGCTCCTCGGCCTGGTACTCAAAGCCCTCCACCTACCTTTCCTGGATTAGCTCCTAAAACTACCGCCTCCCGGCTGCTCAGCAGTTCTCTCCGCTCCTAAGCCCATTCAAATGCGTCCTCTCCCGTGGAAGTCCCGCCCACGTGCTACCTCCTCCCAATTCTCCACCGTAAAATGCGTAAAACGCGGATCTGTTCTAGACTGTAAGCTCCCGAGGGGCAGGAAGCCCGATGGTTCCTTCTGCTCGGTCTCTCCCGCCCCTTCCCCTCCGCCCGGCACGCGGGGCGCAGCGCTGACAGCAGTGACCTCCGCGGAGGTTCCGAGCGGGACCCGGAATTCCAAAGACCTGTGCGCGGAGCCACGGACCGAGCCCTCCCGCCCGGGCCCGGAGCTCCCGCACCCCCTCCGCACCCAGCTCCGCCTCCAGCTGCGAGGCGTGGGGTAACCCGTCCCCCCATCGCCTTACCGGCACGGCTCCCTGGCCCTCCCTCGCGATGGTTTCCCCCCTTGGGGTTTGAGGGCAGCGCCGCTCGGCCCCGCCCCCGAGCCTTCCACCCACTTCCGGCCACGCCCACCCGGCCGGCCCCGCCGCTCTGCTCCGCAGTCTCGATGGTGGTCCTCCGGCTGTCTGGCTCGGGCGGAGCGGGACCATAGAGACGACCATAGAGAATTCCTCCCGCCGCCAGCAGGGCGGAGAGAGCGGCCTCCGCGTGCCCGGAGCCCTGGAGTCGCTCTGGGCGGGCGGGAGGAGGCGGCCGTGGGAGGGGGCGCCCAGGAGGCGACGCCGGCTGCTGGCTGACCATAGAGATGCGGCGGCCGGCCCGGCCGGGAGGTGAGTGGCGGCTGCGGCGCGGGGACGGCAGGGGGGCCGGTGGCGTGGGCCGGGCGGGAAAGTTGCTCGCGCTCCCGGAGGAGGGTGGGCCCGGGAGGGGAGGACCCTCGGGAGGAGGCGATGGGCGACGGCGACGAGCGGGGCCCCGGAGCATCGCAGAGCCGCGCGGCGCCGCAGCCCCTGCTCTGAGCCCCGCCGCCGGTGACCGCTGCCTCTCCCAGGACCATCACCACGACGGTTCCCGGCCCGGGGCTTGCAGATTACAAGCCGGCTTTCCCCTTCCCCGGCTCTGGGCCTCCTGCTCCAGCCCGGCGATGCGGACACTGGCATCGCCTCCACCTCACTGATCAGAAAGCCGAGGCCCGGAGAAGGGGGGTCCCTGTCTGCCCAGATCCTCGCAGGGAATCAGAGCCCGCGGGCAGGGGAAACCGGGTGCTTTCTGTAGTCCCCGGGCCAGGTTTCATTCATTCCCCGGGCCTTCTCCCTGCCTTAACCTGTCAGCAAGCCTCCACCATGGAAGCGGTGTGTGTGTTACTGAAGAACTAGAGGCCTGGCCCATGAAATGTGTGCGCAGGGGCGGTCTCTAAGGCTGGCCAGGGGTCCCAGATTGGAGAGGGTGCAGGGTGGGCTGAGGGACACTCTCTTCCCCGGTGCATGAATTTTGTGTATCGGGCCTCTAATAAATAAATAAAAAGAAAACCTCTAGGTTAACTAATTGTGGCATGCTGCCATGCAAGGAAATGCCCAAGTGGGCAGGCACTAGGTTGTGTACCTATACAGACTGGGAAGAAGGAGAGATCTAACTCTATTTGTTTGGTTTATCAGCACTTGAGAGACGACAGCACACGAGTTGGTGGTGATGACAGACCCTGTGTTGGATTCACAGCCAGCCAGCAGCACTGCAGAGATGGATGGACTGTGCTCTGAGTTACTGCTGATCCCCCCACCTCTCTCTAACCCGGGAATCCTGGAGCCCGCCCAGGGCCCCTGTACCTCCGGGAACCCCACACCTTTGCCCGCTGACCCGGGCTGCCTGCTGGTGGAGGCCACGGCCACCGAAGAGGACCCTGGGAGCATGCAGATCGTGGTAGAAGCAGTCGGTGGAAACCTGTCCTCAGGCGCTGCTGGAGCGACCCCAGGTACGGACACAGCTGCTAGCAGGCCAGTGGGACAGGCAGCCGTGTGGTTTTGTCTGCGCTGTTTTTGATCCTCGGAGATAGTAGTGTAAGCAGGATGAGGCCACAGGGTAGCATCCTGTTTTTATCCTGAGGGATGTGATTGGATTTGGAGCTGGTAAATGTTGTTGAAGGCTGGCAAGGTGGTGCACAGCCTTGTACCAAGCTCTGGGCAGTCTTTCCCTGCAAGAGCTTCCTGTATGCAAGGCAGGAATCCAGAGAGGAGACCGTTCTGACCCCTCTGCCCAGTCCTCACTCCACTAGTCCTCGGGGAGTCTTTCCCAGGAACTGCAGTGGGGATCGGGCAAAAGCCCCAGTCCCTCCACCTCCAGGCGCGGCAGGCCTTCCCAGAGGTGATACGGTATTTCCCATCCCTGTGTCTTGCGTATGACATACTGAACTCATCAGAGGCATGTGGCTGAGAGTTGAGCATTTACATTTAGGCTGGAAGAAAGATTCTCCCCTTTATTCTTCCCGCAGCCACAACTTTTTAAGTAACTTCCCTGTGTGATTTTTTGTAATATGTTTTATTGATTTCGGAAAGGAAGGGAGAGGGAGAGAGAGGTAGAAACATCAATGATGAAAGAATAATTGATTAATTGATCAGCTGCCTCCTGCACACTCCCTACTGGTGATCGAGCCTGCAACCTGGGCGTGTGCCCTTGACCAGAGTCGAACTCGGGGCCCTTCAGTCTGCAGGCCAGTGCTCTATCCACTGAGCCAGATTGGCCAGGGCAACTTCCCTATTTTTCAACTGCCATCCTCCATCTACATTTATCACAACTTCCTTTGATGGTATAAACAATTCTGGGAAAGATTAGCTAATTTTGTCATGTAATGTTTCTAAACTTCTAGGTGGTGAAAGAAATAATAAATAAAAACAAACGTGGGAAAAACATTTGGAATGTATGAGAAAGAGTTAAAGAGCTCCACTATAAGAAAAAGAAACAAAGGGAAAAAGAAATCTACATGAAATTCACTAAAGAAATAAAAATAGCTGAAACCGGTGTGGCTCAGTGGATAGTTGGCCTTCAGACTCAAGGGCCCCAGGTTCGATTTCAGTCAAGGGCATATACCTTGTTGCGGGCACATCCCTAGGAGGGAGTGTGCAGGAGGCAGCTGATGGATGATTCTCTCTCATCAATGTTTCTGACTCTCTGTCCCTCTCTCTTCCTCTCTGTGAAAAATCAATAAAATATATATATATTTTTAAAAAGAAATGGCAATGGTTATTATGAACATGGTTTGGCTTTGTTCAATAGGATGTTCTCCATTTTATGAATTACCATGCTTAGGAAAATCTCTTTACGGAATATGAAAGTAATACTTTGTCACTTATATTGCAGATATTATCTCTATATTGTCATTTTCTTATTTTTGGAAGTTTCTAATTTTGTTGTTAATCTTCACCAGAGGATAGTCTTTTCATTGCATTGGAAGGGAGGGAGGGGGAGAGGGAGAGAAACATCGATGTAGGAGAGACGCATTGACTGCCTGTCTACTGCCACCTGACTGGTGGCAGAGAATGAACCTGCAGACCCAGGTACGCATCCTCAACGAGGAATTGAGCCCATGACCCTTCGGTGAGCAGGTCAGTGCTTTAATCACTGATCAACACCGGCCAGAGCCTAATATTTTATTTGGGCAAATATATTGATTTTTCTTATTGCTTTCCGGATTTGATTAATGCTTGTTACATTCATTTAACAAATATTTATTAAGTGCTTTGTGCCAAGTATTGTGCTAGATATTAGGAATCCAACCCTGTCCCTGCCCTCATAGAGCTTATAGTCCAGGTGCAGAACCAGTCTTAAACTCCACCTCCATTCCATGAATATTAAAAAATTTACCGCCCTGCCAAAACCGGTTTGGCTCAATGGATAGAGCGTCGGCTTGGGGACTGAAAGGTCCTGGGTTCGATTCCGTTCAAGAGCATGTACCTTGGTTGCGGGCATATCCCCAGTGGGGGGTGTGCTAGAGGCAGCTGATCGATGTTTCTAACTATCTCTCTCCCTTCCTCTCTGTACAAAATCAATAAAATATATTTAAAAAAAAAAAAAAGTCTTAAAACATTTACCACCCTAACCGGTTTGGCTCAGTGGATGGAGCATCAGCCTGCAGACTGAAGGGTCCCAGATTCAATTCCGGGCAAGGGCATGGACCTTGGTTGCGGACACATCCCTAGTGGGGGATGTGCAGGAGGCAGCTGATCAGTGTTTCTAGCTTTCTATTCCTCTCCCTTCCTCTCTCAAAAAAATCAATAAAAAGTGTTTTTAAAAACAGATTCACCTGTGTTTTCCGCTGGTAACTAACTCCTGTGAGGCTCATTCCATCTGATTCTGTGCCTTTCTCTGTTGGCCCTCTGCCCGCAGGTGTCCTGGTAAAGGTGGTGGAGGTGCACTTCTGCGAGCGCTGTGAGCAGAGCTTCGCAGAGCCCGCTCTGCTGGCCCTGCACCAGTGCCCCGAGCCCCCCACACAGCCGGTGCAGGGCCCCGCTAGCCCCCCGTGCTCTGCAGAGCTCCCCCTCGGCCACCTGCCTCCCCCGGGCCCCGGGCAGGCCCAGGGCCTCTCCAGCGACCCCCTGCCTTGCCCTGTGTGTAGACAGGAGTTTGCCCAACCCCAGGCCCTGAAGAGCCACTTCAAGATTCACCGGGGCCCTCCCGACACCTTCTCCTGCCCAGAGTCTGGCTGTGCGTTCTCTGCTGACGACCGTAAGGGTCTGCAGCAGCACCTGAGACAGACCCACAGCGCGGTTCCTGTGCCCTGTTCCTTCCGGGGCTGCCCCCTGCTCTTCGGGAGCCAGCGGGGCATGGAGCTGCATCGACAGGCCCACTACCCTTTCCACTGCCGCCAGTGCAGCTTCCTGGGCTCCAACGTCAAACTCTTCCGGCAGCATCAGCGCAGCCATAGGGCCGGGTCTCAGGGAGAACCATCGGCCACTGCGGACCCTTCATCCAAGGAGCCGCCGCCAGGTATGAGGCCAGGGACCCAGCAGTGTGCTACCTGGAGAGGCAGGTTATCCAGTGCCATGGGTACACTAGATGCCAGAGAATCAGAGTAAGTGACTCAGAAAGACAGAACTGACTAACAGGAGAAGGCGTCCAGAAAGCTTGGGCCAGTCAGAATATATGGACTACAGAGGAAGTCTTTGTCTGTGACACTGAGTACAGTTTGGCCTCAGCTCTCCTGTGGCCCTGAAGTTACTTAACCAACATTCTCTTCTGATCCATTTTAAAACTTTCTGAGAGCAAAAGCTGAAATGCCCATCGCCTCTGGGAGAACGCCTTGTGATGCCATTTCAGAGCAAATGGGATCAGGCAGGAGAAACCTTCAAGGAGGGCGGTGCTTCACTGAGTCAGACTCCTCTTGGTGCCGAAAAAGGGGGCATTGGGTGAGTAGAGGAGCATCAGGAAAGAGAGAAATCAGGCCAGGAGAGGTCAGGATTCTGAGAGAATTGGGCTAGCTAAGACTCACATGTGCTCTGCTCCCAAAGAGAAGACCCTTTCCCCTCCCTCCCCCCTAGAAAACAGTTGTAGGTCTTTGCCTTACCAAGGAAGCGGCCTCTGTTGAGGGATAGAAGGGATAGATGTGAGGGAACAGGGTGTGCCTGAATTGCAGAGTTGGGTTTCTCAGTAGAACAATTGAGAGGTCAGGGTATGTTCACCTGCACTAAGCCAGCAGGCGTTAGCCCTGGGACCTCAGCCAGGGAGGCGCAGTCCACCCATTCTCTGCCTCTCAGTCCCCTTCTCCAACCCCAGGGACCTCAAAGCTCTTACCTTCAAGGGGCCTGAGGATGGTGTTATCTGAGGAGTGGTTTCCTCCGGGCCGGAGCACTAGTGATGGCCTCCCTGCTGGTCTTCCTATAGAAACCCAGGATTCCCTTATGCCACAGGGGGTAGGGGGACTCTGTCAGCCAGCAAGAGGAGAAGAACAAGCCGTCAGTGCTGTCATGGGCCCCTGTAGGTTTCATCAGATGTCATGTGTCTCCAGCTCCCCAACGGCCCCCAGGAGAGGGACAGCCTTCAGAGGACGCAGGTACACCCTTGCCCAGACAGGAGTCAGCAGAAGAGGAGAACATGGAGGAAGAGGGAGAGAATGGCACCCTCAAGGACTCCCAGAAAGCCCCGGAGAAAGGCCAGGGGTCGCAGCAATTGGAAGGTAAGGCTGGGATTGGGTTTGAACTTCCTGGTGGAGGGGAGGAATGGATTGTGGGGAGCCCGGCATTGAAAGGCTCTAGTGTTTGCTCTTCTGAGCTCTGATTGAAATGCTTTCACTCCTAACAGTCCCCTTGGCATGTCCAGTGGGGAAGTGGCAAATGCTCACTCTCAGGTACATGGGAGAACTTGGTTACCACCAGCTCCCCATAGCCTAGAACTTACGAGCCCACGTTTGGAAGTTGGAATACTTTACCTTCTTCTCTTCTGCTCATTCCGTGTGGAGTTATTTTCCTTCCAACCAACTCTGCTGGTCCTTCCGCCTGCGCCCATGCACCTGGGCAGGAAGAACAAGAAAGCTCTATCCAGATGGTTCTTTTGAGCGACTCTATATAGAGGCTATAGGGAGTGGGTGGCTGGGCAAAGCACTTCCAGCAGGTCACAGCGAGATCTGAGGAGTTCTTGTGATTTTTGTTTATCTAAATGTTTGCATTTTTTTTCCTTTCTTTTTTTTCTTTTTTCTTTTTTCTTTTAATATATTTTATTGGTTTTTCACAGAGAGGAAGAGAGAGGGATAAAGAGTTAGAAACAACGATGAGAGAGAATCATCGATCAGCTGCCTCTTGCACACCCCCCACTGGGTATGTGCCTGCAACCAAGGTACACGCCCTTGCCCGGAATCGAACCTGGGACCTTTCAGTCCGCAGGCCGACGCTCTATCCACTGAGCCAAACCGGTCCCGGCTCTTTTTCTTTTTTTAATATATTTTATTGAGTTTTTACAGAGAGGAAGAAAGAGGGATAGAAAGCTAGAAACATTGATGAGAGAGAGTCATCAATCATCTGCCTCTTGCACACCCCCTACTGGGGATGTGCCTGCAACCAAGGTACATGCCTTGACCGGAATCGAACCCGGGACCTTTGAGTCCCCAGGCCAATGCTCTGCCACTGAGCCACGCCGGTTTCAGCAACACTTCCATTTCTCGTCTCTTCTTTTTGACCACCGTGTCTGAGATGCTATTGCTTGGTTTCCTAAAGAGGAAGGGAAAAGCCACACACTGCTTCTGGGCAAACTGTGGGTCTCCCGTTATCTGGCCAGCCCGGGGCCTGGGGGAGAATCTCACCCTCAGCCCTGTCTCCCTCTCCTCGCTCAGGGGATGTCGCTCCTGGCACCGCTCCTGGCACCGAGTCCCTCTTCAAGACCCACATGTGCCCGGAGTGCAAGCGCTGCTTTAAGAAGCGGACCCATCTGGTGGAGCATCTCCATCTGCACTTCCCGGACCCCAGCCTCCAGTGCCCCAACTGCCAGAAGTTCTTCACCAGCAAGAGCAAGCTCAAGACCCACCTGCTGCGGGAGCTGGGCCAGAAGGCCCACCGCTGCCCGCTGTGCAGCTACAGCGCCGTGGAGAGGAACGCGCTCAACCGCCACATGGCCAGCATGCACGAGGGCGTCGCCACCTTCTACTCGGACACCTACGCCTGCCCCGTGTGCCGGGAGGAGTTCCGCCTCAGCCAGGCCCTCAAGGAGCACCTCAAGGGCCACACGGCCGCGGAGCCGCTGCCCCTGGCCTGCTTCCAGGAGGGCTGCAGCTACGCGGCGCCCGACCGCAAGGCCTTCACGCGGCACCTGCGGGAGCGCCACGGCGTGCGGGCCGTGGAGTGCCGCCACCACGCGTGCCCCATGCTCTTCGCCACGGCCGAGGCCATGGAGGCCCACCGCAGGAGCCACTGCGCCTTCCACTGCCCGCACTGCGACTTCGCCTGCTCCAACAAGCACCTGTTCCGCAAGCACAAGCAGCAGGGCCACCCGGGCAGCGAGGAGCTGCGCTGCCCCTTCTGCCCCTTCGCCTCCTTCAACCCGGTGGCCTACCAGGACCACGTGGGCAAGATGCACGCCCACGAGAAGACCCACCAGTGCCCCGAGTGCGGCTTCGCCACCGCCCACAAGAGAGTGCTCACCCGCCACCTGCTGCTGCACACAGGTGAGGCCTCGCGTCCTTCCTCAGGCAGTGCGGGGGGGGGGGGGGGGGGGTAGGGGGGGGGCTTCCCTTCGTGCCCACTGGACCCGGTATTCCTCGAGGGAAATCTGGCTCTGGGAATCGATGAGCCTGAGGCTGAAAAGTGGTCAGGCGAGGATTGGAATCCAAGCAGTCTGATTCAGAGCCTGTGCTGTGGTGTTTTGCCCATAAGGCCCTGCCCAGGTCTGCCCACCCCTAGTCAGCCTTGGGTGGGTCAACACCCAGCCTCTTAAAACGAAGACACTCGGACCGGGACAGATAACTTTACCTTTGCTCTTCAAGCTCTGAGATGTGCTGTGAAACGGGGCGCGAGGTCTGAGCCGTCACCCACGTTACAGCTCTGGCAGCTGCGACACTGGAACACGAGCCCATTTGGTGGCTTGGAAGTTGCTGGTATTTCAAGCCCGATTTTTGATTGGTGCCAGCATCACTGATGCTTTGAGTGACAACCCAACCAGGTTTCCTGCCACAGCGACATCGCTTTTGTGGTCTCTGGGTCAGCATGGTGGATTGATAAGACGTTTAAAAATCCCATTAAAGACTGTTTAGTTTGAGAGGACAGTGTTTAGGCAGCTCGGGACAAGGCCATTGTTCGCATTGATACATGTTTTAGTCATTTTTATGAGGCCTTTTCTGAAACCTTTTAAATATATAGTGCTTTACAGTGTATAGCATTCTTTCATATACATATATATATATATATATATATATATATAAAATCTCATTCATTCCATAATCAGAATCTTGTAAAGAAGGTAGATAAAGATGAGAAAATAAAAATTGAGATGGCCTGTTTCAGAATCAAACAGTAGTAACAGAACCCAGGGAAGGGGCTGAGTGGGGAGCAGGGTAATAAGGAAGGCTCCTGAGGAAACACGGCCCCCAGCTTTTCAGTGCCAGGCTGACCCACTCCAGGGCCAGTCTGCCCTCAGGTTCCCTCTAGGTGCCGCTGAAGACTGTGGGCATCTCATGTAGTCTTCCCATTAACCAGGTGACGTCGGTACTGCAGTTGCCCTCTTTTTGGAAACAAGCAAGCTGAGACTTAGATTCAATGGCCTTTCTGCAGCCATGTAGCAGTAAGCTGCGATTTGAGCCACCACTCATAGCTCTGTGATTTCTCGGTGCCTCGGCGTGTTCCCCTGAAATATGGGTGTCACAGCACCTGCCTCACAGGGCTGTTACAAGGATTCAGTGAGGGGAGGCATTTTTATAAAGTGCTCAGAAAGGTGTCTGGCACAGAGCGAGCACTAGATACCTGTTGACTGTTAATATCTGTTACCCTTTAACCACCATGGATCCCTTAACCACCATGTTGTTTTGCCTAATTTCTTTCTATCGTTCTCTTCCACAGAACTGAAAGGAATTGGGCCAAGTGGGGCAGGTGGCTGGCAGCGCTAAGCTGTGTCATCAGAAGGGACTTGAAAGCTAGTTTTGCAAAACTCAGCCTGCATTTTCTTCCCGTCTTTACTGGCGTTGGGGCCCAGGAGGAGTTTTCTGAGAGGCCTCGAAGCTCTCGCTCCTGCCGGGCATCAAAACAAACCCGCGGGGGGAAATGATCTGTCCACTTGCTGACCTGTGCGCACCCTGTGTTCTCTCCCGTCTCGCCCCCACCCCTGCGCCAGGCGAGAAGCCTCACAAGTGCGAGCTATGCGACTTCATGTGCCGAGATGTGAGCTACCTGTCCAAGCACATGCTGACCCACTCCGACGCCAAGGACTACATGTGCGCGGAGTGCGGCTACGTCACCAAGTGGAAACACTACCTCAGCGTGCACATGCGGAAGCACTCGGGGGACCTCAGGTTCGAGCGCACGCACCCCCGTCCCGAGAACCGCGGGCTCAGCGAGCCTCCTCTCACTCAGCTGCGGCCCATGCTCTCCCGGCCCCTCCGTGCCCGTCCTCTCAGCCCCGCTGCCTGTGGCTGCCTCTGTGCCTGTGGCCAGTCTGCGTGGCGAGAGACCTCTGGGCTCGGAGAAGGGAGTATAGGGCCAGATACAGGGCTAGACACTCAGGTGTCACCTGAGTTCTCAGAGACCGGTCCTGGGAAGCAGACTGCACTGTGGCCCCAAACCTGACCACTTCCCTTCTGATCTCTGGGCACAGCTGGCGGGCACTTTCTCCTTAGCTCTCTTTTTTTTTCTTTTCCATTTCACTTTTTATTAGTTGTTTTTTTGTTGTTGTTGTTGTTTTTTAAAATATATTTTATTGATATTTTACAGAGAGGAGGAAGGGAGAGAGATAGAGAGCTAGAAATGTCGATGAGAGAGACATATCGACCAGCTGCCTCTTGCACACCCCCTATTGGGGATGTGCCCGCAACCAAGGTACATGCCCTTGACCGGAATCGATCCTGAGACCTTTTAGTCCGCAGACGGATGCTCTACCACTGAGCCAAACCGGTTTCGGCTAGTTGTTTTTTTCTGGTAGACAGTACACTTGGGGATTATACTGCACCAGGCATAAGAAGTAAGATTTCTACCACAGGGACATTTTATATTCAGAATCCAATATAAATATTTCTAGTCAGACATTTCCATAGCTACAGATATTTGGCTGCTTGATTTATATGCATAGAAAGAAATAGTTGTCATAACTGTAAAAAGCAGTACTTAACAAGTACTTTTAAATGATTGGGGCCGTTTTCCTTTAATATTACAGTACTGCTTATTGGCTCTCCTTCACTGTCATGCCTCCGTGGGAGAGTGGGAACTAGACCCAGAAGCCTGCCTGGCTCTGTGGGCACATCCGCTCCTTAGGAGTCCACCATGGCTGCTGACTGACCATGTCTCCCCTTTAGGGGCGATAGAGAGTAGGAGCTAGAACAAAAGCCCTGAAGCCAGACTGCCCTTCGCTGTGTAACCTCAGGCAGGTTATGACTTCTGGGCCCTAGTCTCCTCGCGTATAAAGTGGATGCCCGCTTCAGAGGGTGCGAGAGAATGTTGGCTTAGACTGTGTATGTACAATACGGGTTAGAGCCTGCCCCATAGTAAGCAGTGACAGTTACTTGCTATGATTGATTTATGGTTGTGACTTGGCTTCCACTCTCTCCCCAACGCCCTCTCTTCCCCCCCGTCAGATACCAGTGCAACCAGTGCTCCTATCGCTGCCACCGGGCCGATCAGCTGAGCAGCCACAAGCTGAGACACCAGGGCAAGTCCCTGATGTGCGAGGTGTGCGCCTTTGCTTGCAAGCGCAAGTATGAGCTGCAGAAGCACATGGCTTCCCAGCACCACCCTGGCAAGCCGGCCCCGCTCTACCCCTGTCGCTACTGCAGCTACCAGAGCCGCCACAAGCAGGCCCTGCTGAGCCACGAGAACTGCAAGCACACCCGCCTCCGGGAGTTCCGCTGCGCCCTCTGCGACTACCGCACCTTCAGCAACGCCACCCTCTTCTTCCACAAGCGCAAGGCCCACGGCCACCTGCCCGGGGACCAGGCCTGGCAGCTCCGCTGTGCCAGCCGGGAGCCGGAGGAGGCCGGGCAGTGCCCCGCGCCCCCAGGCGCCGAGGCCTCCGGCCAGCTGGCGGCCCGGACTGCGGAGCAGGACCACAGCCCTGGGGCCGGGGCGGACCCCAGCGTGGACCACGCTCTGCCGGGGGCCAGTGAGGAGGCCGGTGCCGGGAGCCAGGATGGCAGGGAGGTGCCCCGAGGGGATGGCCTGGTCAGCAGCCCCAGTCCGGCGGCGGCCGAGGTGGATGAGGGCAGCTGCACACTGCACCTGGAGGCCCTGGGCGTGGAGCTGGAACCCGTGGCCGAGCCGCCTCTGGGGGAGATCGCTGACACGGCCGCCGTGGAATTCGGGCCCCTGCGACTGGAAGGGCCAGGTGGGCCTCTGCCAGAGCTGTCTGCCTTCGAAGGTGCTGGCGCTTCTAGCATGGGTGCTGGAGAAGAGCCCGTTCTGGAAAAGCCAGTCCCTGCGCCCCCCAGAAATCCTCCTTCCTCCGAGGAGCCCCCCAGCAGCTGGGTGGGAACCTTCAAGCCCACACCGCCCGCTGAGACGGCACCCCTGCCCCAGCTGCCTGAGTCGGAGTCCTTGCTCAAGGCCCTGAGGAGACAGGACAAGGAGCAGGCAGAGGCGCTGGTCCTGGAGGGGCGGGTTCAGATGGTGGTCGTACAGGGCGCGGGGCAGGCCTTCCGCTGCCCACACTGCCCGTTCGTTACCCAGCGGGAGAAGGCCCTGCGCCTGCACTCCCGGACTGGGTGCCAGGGCCGCCAGGAGCCCCTGCGGTGCCCTGAGTGTGGGGCTCATTTCAAGCAGCAGCGCGGCCTCAGCACCCACCTGCTGAAAAAGTGCCCTGTTTTGCTCAAAAAGAACAAGGGATTGGCCAGAACAGATTCTCCTGTCCCTCTGCACCCTCTGCCCCCGGGCACCCCCACCGCAGAGGCTGCGGAAGGCGGGGAGCCCCCGCCTGCACCATCAGAAGCAGAGGCGGTGCTCCCAAAAGGTGCTCCGGAGCTTCCTGGGGAACCAGAGGAAACGGACAGGTCTCTGGCCACACGCTCCGGCGCCACAGAACTTCCTGCCGCAAACCCCTCCTCCCCAGAGGCCCCCGAGAAGTTCCACTTTGAACAGGGCAAGTTCCACTGCAACTCCTGCGTGTTCCTCTGCTCCCGGCTCTCCTCCATCACCTCCCACGTGGCCGACGGCTGCCGGGGGCTGCGGGGCGGAGCGGGAAGGCGAGGGGCCGCCCCGGCCCAGCCCGTCGCGTCCCCGCCGAGGCCTGGGGACCCCGCTCCCCTAAGCAGCGGGGGCACCGAGGGCGGCCCCGGGGCCGGGGGTCCCGCTCCGGTTCCGAAGCGGAAGGGGGCCCGCTTTTCCTGCCCCACCTGCCCCTTCCGCTGCCAGCAGGAGCGCGCCCTGAAGACTCACCAGGCCCGCGGCTGCCCCCTCGACCGGCCCGGGGAGCTGCGCTGCGGCCTCTGCGCCTTCACCGCCCCCGGGGCCGCCGCCCTGAGGCTGCACCAGCGGCGCCGGCACCCGCCCGCCGCCCCGGCCCGCGGCCCGCGCCCCCCGCTGCGCTGCGGGGACTGCGGCTTCGTCTGCAAGCAGAGCCGGAGCCTGCGGCAGCACCGGCGGCTCCAGCACGAGGGCGTGAAGCCGCACCAGTGCCCGTTCTGCGGCTTCGCCACCACCCGGCGCTACCGGCTGGAGGCCCACCAGTCCCGGCACACGGGCGTGGGCCGCATCGCCTGCGGCTCCTGCCCGCAGACCTTCGGCACCAACTCCAAGCTGCGCCTGCACCGGCTGCGGGTGCACGACAAGACGCCCACCCACTTCTGCCAGCTGTGCGACTACAGCGGCTACCTGCGCCACGACATCGCCCGCCACGTGCGCAGCTGCCACCAGGGCCCGCTGGCCGTCGCCTGCCCGCAGTGCGAGGCCCAGTTCAGCTCGGAGACGGCGCTCAAGCAGCACGCGCTGCGCCGGCACCCGGAGCCCCGGCCCGCGGCCCCGGCCCCGCACCCCGGCCCCGGCCCCGGCCCGCGCGGGCCCCGCTGCCGGCCGCCGCGGCTGCAGTGCGGGGCCTGCGCGCAGGCCTTCCCCAGCCGGGCCGCGCTGGACGAGCACCGGCGGCGGCAGCACTTCGGCCACCGCTGCCAGCTCTGCGACTTCGCGGCGCGGGAGCGCGGCGGGCTGGTGAGGCACTACCTGCAGCGGCACGAGGAGCCCGCGGGGGCGGAGGGGGGCGCCGGCCAGCCCCCGCTGCGCTGCCCCCTGTGCGACTTCGCCTGCCGCCACCAGCTGGTGCTGGACCACCACGTGAAGGGCCACGGCGGCACCCGGCTCTACAAGTGCACCGACTGCGCCTACAGCACCAAGAACCGGCAGAAGATCACCTGGCACAGCCGCACCCACACCGGGGAGAAGCCCTACCGCTGCCACCTCTGCCCCTACGCCTGCGCCGACCCCTCCCGCCTCAAGGTAGGGCCAGGGCCGAAGCGGGCCAGGCGTGCGGGCTGTGGAGGTGAGGGGCCCGGCGCTCCCCGATACTGCTTTTGTGGCCCCTGTCAATTCCCTTCGTTTCTCCAAGCCTTCGGGAAAAGTGGGATATTGCTTCATAGAATGGTTATGAAGTTCCATAATACATGCTACTCGTGTGAGGGAGGCATGTGATATAGGTCGGGCATAACCTAGATGAGGAAGTAAATAAAGATAAAAATTATGAACAAATACATAACTATCAACAAGTGAATCTAAAAACCAAGGAAATTAAAAAAAATCTGATGAACAATATTAACTGTTGAATATAATAGAATCAGAGGTATGGAAGGGGAGTGAACTGACGATTCTCGGGGAAAAGGGGAGAGGGGGATGTGGGAAGAGACTGAACATAAACTGCACCTATGGATGAGGTCAGTGGGGAGTGGGGAAAGGGCAGAGGGTGGGGTGGGAACCTGATGGAGGGGAGCAATGGAGGGGGGGAGTGGGGAGGATCATTTGTAATAATATGAACAATAAAAAATTATTTTAAAAATAATAAAAAATAAATAAACTTTAGTACTTAAAAAAAATAACAGCTAACATTTATTGAGCACTTGCTATATGCTGGGCAATGTAATTTTAATTCTTCAAAAAATATGAGATACAGTTACTTTTACTACTTCTTATTGTACAGATTGTTAGGATGACATTAGGGATTAGGTCATCCAAAGGTGCGAGAAATAAGGTGGCAGAGCTCAGATAGCCTGGGCGGATCTAGGAGTTGGCCCCCTAGGTTAGGTTGTGTCAAAGTGGCCAGACTGGAGCACCTGGTTGGTGATGGGAGTATAAATAGGATGGGAGTAGGGAAGAGGAGGGTCTGCCAACAGTCTTTCTGCCTCCTTCCCCTAGTTCCTTATCCTTGAGTACCCACATTTTTCTGGGCATATTCTTTGCTTTCCCTCCTTCAGTACCATATGCGGATCCATAAGGAGGAACGGAAGTACCTGTGCCCTGACTGCGGCTACAAGTGCAAGTGGGTCAACCAGCTCAAGTACCACATGACCAAGCACACAGGTGAGTCTGCATGGCTTTGGCAAGCCCAATGGGTTCCCCCATTCCCTGGCACACCCAGCCTCCCTGATTGGGTTCTCACTGATTCGGGGTGCACATCAGTTTTCACTTTGGGGGTGGTGGGTAGGTCAGATGGCTAGGATAGCTTCCCAATCCACTGACGACTTATCAGAATCAGAAGAGAGGTGAGCCTGAGAGCCTGGGTATGTGCACTTTTCAAAAGCTCCCTGGGCGATTGTGGCACCAGGTCACACACCGCCTGTGGAGAACCCCCCACCTCAAACATGAGTGACCTGGGAGGTCTGCCTGGCTCCTGTAGACATGATAACTACCACGAAAAAAGAGAAGCAAGTGGGAAGGTTTTAACTTATCCAGGTTTTAACTGGAGTCCACAACGGACAGGTTCTCTGAAAAGCGTTAATGGTGACATACCTGTGATTATGGGGTGTGATCTCCTTATGTAAAGGAATGGAGCAGATGCATTACAAGGCCCTCTGCGTTATGAATGCTGCTTCTTTCACTGCTAGCCCTCTTAAACATTTTCTTTGACTTCTTGAATTGAACAAGTTGTATTTAAATGCATCCCCAGCCCTAGCTGGTTTTGCTCAGTGGATAGAGCGTCATCCTGCAGACTGAAAGGTCCCAGGTTCGATTCCAGTGTCAAAAGCACATGCCCAGGTTGCAGGCTCCATCCCCAGTTGGGGGCATGCAGGAGGCAGCCAATCAATGATTTTTCTCTCATCATTGATGTTTTTATCTCTCTATTCCTCCCCCTTCCTCTCTAAAATCAATAAAATATTTTTTTTTTAAATCAAAATCAATGCATTCCCAACTTCCATGAGTACCTATTCCATGACCAAAAGGAGGTTAGAATTTCCCATTTGGAAATCCTATCATATCTGAGTATTCATTGCTATTAGGTGGCTATTTAGAGGTCCAGTTATTATCAGCACTTATTGAGTATCCATTGTGTACAGGGGCTGTGCTGGGAGAAGGGCACAGAAATGCGGCACAGAATATTCCAGACAGACTGGAATATTCCAAAGATACGGTATTAGCTTGCTGCTTGAGTTCTTTATGTCCCAGGATCACAGTGACTCTTATGGTTCACAGAACCCTGTTCCATCCCCTTCGATGGTGATCTGTCACCTCTCTTTGCCATGTCCTGTAGGACTGAAGCCGTACCAGTGTCCCGAGTGTGAGTACTGCACCAACCGGGCCGATGCCCTGCGCGTGCACCAGGAGACCAGGCACCGGGAAGCACGGGCCTTCATGTGTGAGCAGTGCGGCAAGGCCTTCAAGACACGCTTCCTGCTGCGCACCCATCTCCGCAAGCACAGCGAGGCCAAGCCCTATGTGTGTAACGTGTGCCACCGTGCTTTCCGCTGGGCCGCTGGCCTGCGCCATCACGCCCTCACCCACACCGACCGCCGCCCCTTCTTCTGCCGACTCTGCAGCTACAAAGCCAAACAGAAGTTCCAGGTCGTCAAGCATGTGCGCAGACACCACCCTGACCAGGCAGACCCAAACCAGGGCGTGGGCAAAGACCCCACCACCCCCACAGTGCACCTGCATGATGTGCAGCTGGAGGACCCCAGCCCTCCGGCTCTTTCTGCTCCCCCGACTGGACCTGAAGGCTGAGCCCATCCCGCCTCCCAGGCAAGAAGAAAGCGTGGTCCAAGTTGTGCAGCCTGGAGCCAGAGCCAGCCTGAGAAGCTCAGAGAGTAAGGAAGGGCCGGCTTCGGGATATCAGGTTGGCTGGAACTCTCTTGGGACTCCGGCTATAGTATTTTGATGTTGCTGGCTACATAAAAGAGAGATATGAACTACAGATTGGCTTTGTGTTGAGAACCACTGTGTTTTTAACCTGTGAGGTCTTAATTTCTTCACCATCACTCCACTGAAGTCCGACTATAAGGTCCTGGTTTCACCAATTTCTCTTCCCTTTCCTCCTTGCTATGTCAAGTCCTATTTTCATTTAACATCCTCAAAAAATTGTACTGATCTGCATGTGCTATTGTGCCTAATGCTCTATAAAGCATCCTGTCTAATAAAGAGAGAATATGCTAATTGACCCTCACGCTGTCGCAAAGATGGCTGTGCCCACAGCCAATAAGGAGGGAATGTGCTAATTGACGGCCACACCTTCAAAAATGGCGGTGCCCAGTCCCCTCAGCCCCACCAGTGCATAAATTTTCATGCATCAGGCTTCTAGTGTTAATAGAATGCTTATAGACTCGTCCATGTCTGTTTTAGCATCTCCAGGCTGTCATCTCGATTTGCCCTGTACCTCTTAGACCTCTGCCTTCTTTTCTCCTTCCATCTTCACTGAGTGATTGATTCTCAAACAGGCCCAAGTCTGCCTTCTCTCTGTGCTTTTTTTTTTTTTTTTTTTTTTTTATGTGTGTGTATATATATATATATTTTTTTTTTTTTTAATTTTTTTATTTTTTACAGAGAGGAAGGGAGAGAGATAGAGAGCTAGAAACGTCGATGAGAGAGAAACATCAACCAGCCGCCTCTTGCACACACCCTACTGGGGATGTGCCCGCAACCAAGGTACATGCCCTTGACCGGAATCGAACCTGAGACTCTTCAGTCCGCAGACCGATGCTCTGCCACTGAGCCACACCGGCTTCGGCCTTCTCTCTGTTCTTGAAGACTCGTGGCCCTTGCTCCGCTCCCTATTTCTGAGCCACTTTGTCTACCTGTAGAGCGGGGTGAGGAACCTTTTTCTTGCCAAAGGCAATTTGGATGTTTATAACATCATTCACAGGCCGTACAAAATTAGCAACTTAAAAACTAGCCTGCTATATTTGGTCAAACATTTAATTAATTTACCCCTAATACCTTGGCAGAACCAAACCAAATGCCTGTGTGGGCCTCAGCTGGCCCCACCCTTGTAGAGGTAGGACTGCCACTCACTACGCTTCCCCGTGTAAACGGTATAATTCAGCATCATCCCTCAGGCTGCACTAGAATTAAAACATAAAGGCAGTGTGAAAGGCAAATGATTGCAGGGCTGGAGGTAAATCTCTAATGCAGAATTCTATAAATATCTGACAGTGACTATAGTTAATCATCTAAACTCGGGCACACTAGGGAAATTAAAGAGGATACTATTAATAATTGTGCTGGGACAGCAGTCATAAACCAGGACTTACAGGACTTGGATCACATAACCTTTGTCTGCTCCTTCTGCACTGATCCCTAGAAGCTGTGCTTCTGTACCATTCTTATGCAGCACGTGCAGAGGGACACCTGGAAACTTCCGCTTTTCTGTCAACCCAAATGTCCCCAACCCTTACTCTTTCCCTTATTACCCAGCAAAGACAGATCATACTCAGGCCAAGTCAGGGAGAGCAGCTCTCTATTAACACCGGGGCGGTTGGAAGGAGCAGACCAGTGTGGGCTCGGGGCTTGCAGTGTTTTCTTGAGAGTCACAGTACAGTCTTGGAGTCGGTTCTCTCCCCAGCCTTTGCTTGTGGAGGCTTGAGGCTTGGTTTTTCCTTTCCTTGGCTCTGACCTTTGAGGAAGTTGTTGGGGAGGGGATAATGCCTCTTTGTGTTTCTTTGCCCCAAACTCCTCTGGGTTTGTAGTTGCAATCTGCCTTTGAGCCAGAGTCGATAAGAGAGATTATCCTAGGTCTGGGTAGGGACTAAGCCTACAGAAAGGAAGGAAGGAATTTCAGGATAGAGTACGCAAAAGGGAAGAGCAAGAAGAATACCAAAAGTGTGTGAAAATGAAGAAAGGAAAGAGAAAAAAAGAAAAACCAGGCCCTAGATTTGCTTGTTGGGAAGGGTGAGGTAACTTTATGCTTAGGAACGCACAACTATGCTTGGTTTCCATCATCTCTGCCTTCTGGAGCATCCTTCCAGGTTTCTCTGACCATCAGAAGCAAGCACACCCACCCTTCCCAGGAAGTGCCCACCTTAAGATCCGGCCTCCTCCCTCAGCCCTTCCTGCGTGCAGATGTGCACGAAGAGGGAGGCTGGGTGGAGGCTGGTGCCATCCTTGGAGAGCAGGTGGATGTGCCGGTAACCTGGAAAGGCACAGGAGGACAGCGTTCGGGAGGCAGCCAAAGGAGGGGGTTGGCCAGGGGCGGAAGGACAGGCTCACCTTGTTGCATGCAGGACCAAGGCAAGGTGTACTGGCCGATGAAGTCATTTCGGGATCTCCAGTTGTAATCCAGCACCAAAAAACGCAGCATGGCCAGCTCAGGCACCAGCAACTGGAAGCACAGTGTCTGCCCCCAGTACGGATTAAAGCCTGGGGTGGCAGAAGGGTGAATGTGGGAGGGGATAAAGGAACAGACGTGGTTGACTTTCGGGGGACGTGCATTCTGGGTTACTTTCCCTGTGTGCTCTCACTTAATTGGCATAGCAATCTGGTGAGGAAATTGAGGCTCTGAGTGGGTAAGCAATTTGCTGTGGTTACCGGGCCTTATCAGTGAGAGGCCAGGATTCAGATTGAACATGTCCAAGCCCTGATTCTTCGTCCTGTTCCACGCTGCCTCCCATGGAGGTGGGGCAGGATAGTGATGACAGGGACCATACTGAATGAAGGGCAGGCTGTTAGGAAAGTAACAGTCATGCTCCTCTCCTCTCCCCCCAGCTCTGCCCCGTCTCACCATTATTTTCCACGTAGCTGGTCTCCAGCCGGGCTGTGTCTGGGCGAACACCAAAGATCTCCACTCTCACCAGTGGATCCACAATGGCTGCCTCTTTGGTGCTGTCCACTTTGGGGAGTTGTTGACCACTGATCACCTGCAATAGTTTCTGCTCAGCAGCCCCACTCCAGCTCTCACCCCAGGGGAAGGGGGAAAACTTAGGGAAAAGGGAAATGCAGGACTTGGTGCTCTAGCTTTGGGTTTGCAAAGCCAATCCTCCATGGGTAACAGATTTTCTTCTAGTAATCTATGTGCAGTTTAAAATGCATCCAAGTAGGCCGGGACTGATTTGGCTCAATGGATAGAGCGTCAGCTTGGGGACTGAAGGGTCCCGGGTTTGATTCCGGTCAAGGGCATGTACCTTGGTTGCGGGCATATCCCCAGTGGGGGGTGTGCAAGAGGCAGCTGATCGATGACTCACTCTCATCGATGTTTCTAACTCTATCTCTCTCCCTCTCTACAAAATCAATAAAATATATTTTAAAAAATAAAATAAAATAAAAATAAAATGCATCCAAGTAGAAGTTGAACAAGGTTTGAAAAGGTTACTAGTGACAGTAACCCATTCTATAGCATTTACTGTGCACCAGGCATTGTTATAAGCACTTGCTTTCAACTAATCACCACAACCCTGTGAGGTAGCTACTAGTATTACCCCTATTTTGCAGGTGAGGAAACTAAGGTTAAGAAACTTGCACAACAATTTCACAGCTCCTAGGGTTTGAACGTAGGCAATTGGCTCCAAAGTCCCTGCTGCTAACAGCCAGGCTAGCCTCCATCTCACAAGGAACTTTCCTCCCATTACACTCCTGTCAGGCCTAGCCACCTCTCCCACCCCCCTTCTATCCCAGCTATCCCAAATTTCCTCCCAGTATTTGTACTTTCCATTATACCTGGATGAGGAGGGTGCAGGCTTTGAACGGGCTGATGGGCCTCTCCGGTTGGAAGGAACTTTGGGAATCACGTAGGAAGTCTGGCTTCAGCACGTAGCCACAGCCACCATTCTGGCGGAAAAGCCCATCATAGATGTCCATCTCAAGCCCCGCAGTCTGCACATTCATAGCCACTGAGGGCCCCAGAAGAGAAGGGGAGAATTCACCTTGGAGGCCATTGAGCCTCTCAGGGAGTTATAAAAGATACATGCGGTATAAAAGGGCCTGCTGGGAATACCTCCATAGATATCTTTCTCAGCCTAGCACTCTTGGAGCATTCCTTGGCCCTACAGCCACCCATGATCATTGCCAACTTGTTGCTCTCCCACTCCCCCTTCACTGGCCCTACTGCCCCCTCACCCATCTGGCAGCCTGCATTCCAGAATTCCTGGGGGTTGTAGTTGGATGAATCTGTCCTCAGACCACTGGGATACACACGGCTCAACTGCCAGGCGTTATGCAGCACAAACTCGTTGCCTATAAAGAGGGTGTAGGCAGAGAATTGGAAGTGTAGTGGATGCTCCCTCTCCCCTCGTCCCACCAACTTCAGTCTTCTCCCCAGCTTCTCCCTGGAGCTGTGAGCCCACTATAACCCCTGTCCCCATGCCTGCTCTGGAGAAGTTTCCTAGCTCCCTGATCCTTCCTTAGCTCCCTTGTCTTCTTGGAACTCATCAGCTTGCCCATCAGGCCTGACCTTACCCATCCCATTTCTCCCCTGCCCCTCCCTTTTGGTCCTAACCAGTCTCCTTGATGAGGTTCTTGGCCTTTGTTTCAGAGAAAGAGGATAACTCATAAAAGCGGTAGTGCTCCCTCGAATGAGCGAAGTTGTAGAATGAAACAGTCTTTGTATAGACAACCAGGGCAGAGAGGGATGGACACAAGATGGCCTTGGATTTCTGGAAAAGGAGAAAGAAGGTGATGGAATCGAACCATCAGCAATCTGAGAGGGAAGAAGCCAATAACCAAGATCTGAACTTCCCACCCAACCTAAGCCTCTGCCCGATACCTCCCCCACTGAACCATCCCTCCTGCCTCACCTGCTTGAAAAAGAGAGGGAGCCCAGGCTTGGGAAGAGGAGCCTGGACCAAAATCTGACAACAGACAGATGAACAAAGCAGCGGGCACATCACAACCTAGGGATGGGAATGGGAATAAAAGCAATCTACATATACTGATGGATTCGTTTCCTCTGGGTTTGAAGAGTCTGTTCTGTTTTACTTTTTGGGAGACAGTTTTTAAATTTTATTATTTTTAAACAAATATCATCCTCCCTGTCTTTCGTCTTTTAAAACAATTATTTCTGGTCAAAATGTACATGAACCCAGATAGATATGTCAAGGTATGCAAATGGTCATGTAAGTCACACCTGGGAGGATGTGAGGGTCCCAGAGTACAACCTTTAGATGTGTCTCCTGAATTCCCATTTCCATCCCTGGGCATGGCAGCAGGTGAGACACCAGAGCCCCAGAGGAGTCAGTCAGCTGAGCCAAGCAAGTGCACAGGATCTTGATGGTCCCACAAATGACACTCCTTCCCCACAGGGAACTGGACCCCTCAGGCACAGCCTTCTCACAGTCTTCACGGTCCCTACCTCTTCCTGCTCTTTCTCTTTGGTTTTTTTGGCCCTACCTGAGACTCACCTTTTCCAAGAAGCTTTCTCTAACTAAGCTCACGTTAGTTGAGGTGACAGCAGTCACTCCAATAAGTCCTACTTACTCAATATAATAATGCCTCCAGAGTTATCTGGGAGACTCAGGATAGAGCCAAATGGGCATATCAATTAGGATGGCTCTGCATTTATCTATTTTAGGTACTGAGATTCCAGGTAAGATTTTTTTTTAATATATTTTATTGATTTTCTACAGAGAGGAAGGGAGAGAGATAGAGAGCTAGAAACATCGATGAAAGAGAAACATCGACCAGCTGCCTCCTGCACAACCCCTACTGGGGATGTGCCCGCAACCAACGTACATGCCCCTGACCGGAATCGAACTTGGGACCTTCCAGTCCTCAGACCAACGCTCTACCACTGAGCCAAACCGGCTTCGGCAAGATTTCATTAAAAAAGATTTCATGGCCCTAGCTGGCTTGGCTCAGTGGATAGACCCTTGGCCTGCGGAATGAAGGGTCCGGTTCAATTCCAATCAAAAGGCACATGCCCAGATTATGAGCTTAATCCCCAGTAGGGGGCGTGCAGGAGGCAGTTAATCAACGATTCTCAATATAGATGTTTCTATCTCTCTCTCTCCCTTTCTCTCTGAAATCAATAAAAATATATTTTTAAAAAAGATTTCATGGCCTGAAGAAGTTGGACAGCCATTGCAATATATCTACTAATATATATGGTAATATATACTGATGCCAAGTATGCCTCTTTCATTGGGGGCAAGGAGCATTTTGCTCATTGGCTCTCTACCCTCCTGGCTCTAACCTCTTCACACATGGACTCTCAGCTTGTGATAGTCAAACCAAATGCCAGAGCAAAGACCACTCCCCTGGCCTACCTTCTCATTTTTGTCTTTGCTGCGAGGGCTCAGCTCCTGGATCTCAGACTCAAACTGGGATTCCAGCTCAGGCTCCTCCTCCCCTTCTACTTCAGACTCTGCCTCTTCCTCTTCTTCAAGATCCTCCTCAAGCGTTTGTAACTTCTTCCCCTTCACCAGAATCTTCTTCCGAAGCTCCTAGGGCACAAAAATAAAGGGGCTTGGCTACCTGTCTGCTCCGAGGCCCTTCTGGGACCATGCAGGTTCTATTACTCTTACAGAGCCACATCAAAGGCAACAGAAATGAACGAGTAGTCAGAAGTTCCCACAGGAAGGCTGCTTAATTCATACAGTAGGAATTTTGTATTATTAAAAGCAAACTGGCCGAAACCGGTGTGGCTCAGTGGATAGAGCGTCGGTCTGCGGACTGAAAGGTCCCAGGTTCGATTCCGGTCAGGGGCATGTATGTTGGTTGCGGGCACATCCCCAGTAGGGGGTGTGCAAGAGCAGCTGCTCGATGTTTCTCTCTCATTGACGTTTCTAACTCTCTATCTCTCTCCCTTCCTCTCTATAAAAATCAATAAAATATATATATTTTTTAAAAAAAGCAAACTAAAAAAAAAAAAAAGCAAACTGGTAAGATCTCTATTCATATGGAAAAAGTAAATGGGGACCCTATCTGGTTTGACTCAGTGGAGGAGTGTCAGCCCACAGACTGAAGGGTCCTAGGTTCAATTCTGGTCAAGGGCATGTACCTTGCATGCAGTCTTCATGCCCAGCCTTGGTCGGGGCTCATGTGGGAGGCAATCAATCTCACATTGATGTTTCTCTCTGTGTGTCTTCCCCTCCTTCCTAAAAATCAATGGAGCCGAAACCGGTTTGGCCCAGTGGATAGAGCTTTGGCCTGCGGACTCAAGGGTCCCAGGTTTGATTCCGGTCAAGGGCATGTACTTGGTTGCAGGCACATCCCCAGTGGGGGTTGTGCAGGAGGCTGCTGATCGATGTTTCTCTCTCATCGATGTTCCTAGCTCTCTGTCCCTCTCCCTTCCTCTCTGTGGAAAATCAATAAAATATATTTTAAAAAACTATTTTAAAAAACTTTAAAAACAAATAAATAAAAATCAATAGAGCCCTAGCCAGTTTGGCTCAGTAGATAGAGCTCTGGCCTATGAACTGAAGAGTCCTGGGTTCGATTCCAGTCAAGGGTGTGTACCTTGGTTGCAGGCTCCTCCCTGGCCCAGGCCCTGGTCTGGGCATGTGCAGTAGGCAACCAATCAAGTTTCCCTCACAGCGATATTTCTCTCAGTCTTTCCCTCTCCTATTCTCTCTAAAAATCAATGGAAAAATATCCTTGGGTTATGATTAACAAGTAAATAGATAAATATCCTTACCTCACATTTGACACATAAAGATTCCTCAATGATTAAGGATTTACATGAAAATATAAAGAATATTATAAGAGGGGAGAAATCAAGATGGGGCATAGATAAACACCTGAACTTGCTGCCCCGCACAACAACTTTAAAACTACAACTAAAAGACGAACAGACATCATACAGGAAAGCTGGCTAAGTGGAAATTCTACAACTAGAAGGGAAGAGAAAAGCACACTGAGACTCAGAGGAGCTGTGGAAATAAAGTGCAGAGAGTATGCGGCTGGCTTTTTCAAGCAGGAGGGAGACACAAGCTCCCAACTGCTCTGAACTCCAGTTCCAGGCGAGACTCTGGGGACTCAGACTCATACGGGAAGAAACTGGACTGTATGGCAGTGGGCAGAACTTGAGGGCGGCTTTCTCTCAGAGGTGCTTGCAGCGATTACCGAGGGACACTGAGACCTGGGGGCCTCTCAGAGCAGGACTGAATGCAAGCCATTGCTGTTTGCTCTGCCCTGAGACCCCGCCACATCCAAGCTGTGCACAGAGGATTTGCATATGAACGGCCTGGTCCTTTGAAATATAAACTTACCTAACAACTGCAGCTGAGGCAGAGAGACACAGAACATCCAAAAGAAGGCCCAAGGCCCCACAGCATCTTGCATTGCTTCACACTGGACCTCATCTAAAACCCAAACAAAGAAGAGGAATCTGCAGATCTCTCCATAGCTCCTGCTGGGTGGCCACAGGCAGAGGCTAAATTAGCACCTCCTTAGAGATCCAAGAACCAGTGTACCCAGGGGTCAGAGTAGGACCATCCAGATTACAAATCCTCAGATCCATAAGGGACATACTCAGGGGGCAAGACTCCATGAGCACCAAATCCCCACTGAAGCAAATCTTGCCTCATAAGGGTATCTCCAGCACAGAAGTTCTCCCAGCATAGACACAGCTGATCCTTACAACCAATTGGACTGGAGGTCAATTCCTTCCAGTGATATCAACAACAATCAAGGCTTAACTACAAGACTGTGCACACAGCCCACAAAGGGGCGCACCAAGAGTGTCCACCTCAGGTAACTGGGGAGGCTGAGCCACTGAGCCCTATAGGACACTTGGCACACAACGCCACTCTATCAACTCAGGGAAGCAGCCAAAATGTGGAGACAAAGAAACAGGTCACAAATGAAAGAAATGGAGGAAAGCAAACTAAGGATAAAAAGTTCAAAACCACAGTTGTAAGGTTTTTCAAGAATTTTCTAGAAAAGGCCGATAAATTTAGTGAGACCCTTGAGGTTATGAAAAAGGACCAACTAGAAATTAAACATACACTGACTGAAATAAAAAATATTATACAGAGATTTAACAGCAGACTAGAGGATTCCAAGAATCAAGTCAAAGATTTGAAACACAAGAAGAAAAACACTCAACTGGAAAAGCAAAAAGAAAAAAAGAATCCAAAATATGAAGATAGTGTAAGGAGCCTCTGGGACAACTTCAAGAGAATCAACATCAGAATTATGGGGTTGCCAAAAGAAGAGAGAGAGCAAGATACCGAAACCTATTTGAAGAAATAATGACAGAAAAATTCCCCCACCTGGTGAAAGAAATAGACTTACAAGTACAGGAAGTGCACAGAACCCCAAACAAAAGGAATCCAAAGAGGACCACACCAAGACACATCATAATTAAAATGCCAAGAGCAAAAGACAAAGAGAGAATATTAAAAGCAGTAAGAGCCGAAACCGGTTTGGCTCAGTGGATAGAGTGTCGGTCTGCGGACTGAAGGGTCCCAGGTTCAATTCCGGTCAAGGGCATGTACATTGGTTGTGGGCACATCCCCGGCAGGGTGTGTGTAGGAGGCAGCTGGTTGATGTTTCTCTCTCATTGATGTTTCTAGCTCTCTATCCCTCTTCCTTCCTCTCTGTGGAAAAAAAAAAAAAAAAAAAAAAAAAAAAAAAAAAAAAAATATATATATATATATATATATATATATATATATATATATATATATATATAATTTAAAAGCAGCAAGAGAAAAACAGTTAATTACCTACAGGGAAGCACCCATACAATTGTCAGCTGATTTCTCAACAGAAACTATACAGACCAAAAGGGAGTGGTAAGAAATAGTCAAAGTGATGATTAGCAAGAACCTACAACCGAGAGTACTCTACCCAGCCAAGCTGACATTCAGAATTGAAGGTTAGCTAAAGAGCTTCACAGATAAGAAAAAGCTAAAGAAGCTCATCAACACCAAACCAGTATTATATGAAATGCTGAAAGGTATTCTTTTTTAAAAATATATATATTTTATTGATTTTTTACAGAGAGGAAGAGAGAGGGATAGAGAGTTAGAAACATCAATGAGAGAGACATCGATCAGCTGCCTCTTGTGCACCCCTTACTGAAGATGTGCCCGCAACCAAGGTACATGCCCTTGACCGGAATCGAACCCGGGACCTTTCAGTCTGCAGGCTGACGCTCTATCCACTGAGCTAAACCGGTTTCAGCTGAAAGGTATTCTTTAAGAAGAGGAAGAAGAAGAAAAAGATAAAAATTATGAACATCAAAAACATATCTAACAACAAGTGAATCTAAAAATCAAGTGAATAGCCGAAGCCGGTTTGGCTCAGTGGTAGAGCGTCGGTCTGCGGACTGAAAGGTCCCGGGTTCGATTCCGGTCAAGGGCATGTACGTTGGTTGCGGGCACATCCCCGGTAGGGGGTGTGCAAGAGGCAGCTGGTCGATGTTTCTCTCTCATCGACGTTTCTAGCTCTCTATCTCTCTCCCTTCCTCCTCTCTGTAAAATATCAATAAAATATATTTAAAAATCAAGTGAATAAAAAAAAAATCTGATGAACATAATAAACTGGTGAATATAATAGAATCAGGGGCATAGAAAGGGAGTGGACTGACAATTCTCAGGGGAAAGGAGTGTGGAGTGTGTGGGAAGAGATTGGACAAAAATTGTATGCCTATGGGTAAGGGCAGAGGGTGGGGTGGGAACCAGGTGAAGGGGAGCTATGGGGGGAAAAAGAGGAACAATTATAACAATCTGAACAATAAAGATTTAAAAATATGAATATACACACATACACATACACACACATATGCTTATAGAAGTATTTAAAATCTATTAACAGCAATTATTAGGAAAGTCATTATGGTGGGGGCGGGATTTCTCTTTCTCTATTGTTGGCATAGACTACAACAATTATGAACTTTCAGGAAAAAAATTAAGATACTCCCAATGAAAAACTAAATATAAGTAAAACTTACTTAAAATTTAGAGAACTCTGTTCAATTAGTTAAAATTGTCTTCAAGGATATGAAGAGCAAAATGGTCCATCTAAGAATGAGAAGGCACCAACATGGAGGACGGAGCCAAAGTGGGGGGATATGGAAGCTACAGAAGAGCTTGGGCTGGGGAGCAGGGTCCTTACCTCAGGTGAGGGCAGCTGACTGGGCAGGTGCCCATCCAAGGTGGTGCTCAGCAGCTGTTCCCCCAGGATCTCGGTCAGATGCTGTGCTATGATCCCCTGCTGTTCCCAGGTGCAGTGGTTCTCCAGGGACAAGATGACTGGATAGTCTGATGTCTGCAGTGAGGGAAGAGGACTCTGAAGCCAGAGTTCTAACACCTATAACCTCCTTGCCTCTCCACGCTCACCTAGTTGCCTGAATATTCACTCAATTGAGTACCCTGATTGCTAAACTCCTCCAACCCCATTTCAGGCCTCAAGGAGGTCTTACTGGGCCTGGAGCCCACCTCACATCTAAAAGTCACTCTTGGTGCAGCCACTGTGCAAAGCAGTATGAAGTTATCTCAAAAAATTAGAAGTGGAACTGCCTTACAACCCAGCAATTGCACTTATGGGACTATAACCAAAGAAACCCGAAACACTGATTCAAAAGAATATATGCACCCCTTTGTTCATCGCAGCATCATTTACAACTAGTAGCTCTGCTCACAAATCCGTGCACCAGTAGCTCGCTGACACCCTCCTATAGCTCTCTGCCTGCTGCCCCCCCTCCTGTAGCTCTCTGACCCCTGCTTGTAGCTCGCTGCCCCACCCTCCTGCTGATCCATGATCTGGTTGTTATGAGGTTAGTCATTATATTCCTCTCTCATTATTATTTACAATAGCCAAGATTTGGAAGCAGCTCAAGTATATATCAGTAGATGAGAACATAAAAAAAGCTGTGGTATATTTACACAATGGAATACTATTTGGCTGTAAAAAAGAAGAAAATCTTATCCTTTGCAATAGCATGGATGGGCTAGAGAGCATTATGCTAAGTGAAATAAGCCAGTCAGAAAAAGATAAGTACCATATTATTTCACTCATATATGGAATCTAATGAACAAGATAAAACTAACAAGATAGAAACAGGTTCATAGATAGAGAATAGACTGACAACTGTCAGAGGGGAGGGGACTTGGGAAACTGGGTGGAAAAGGTGAAGGGATTAAACAAACAAACAAACAAACAAACAGACAGACAGACAACATAGACACAGACAACAGTATGATGATTACCAGAGAAAAAGTGGAGTTAGCAGAGGGATAAATGGTGATGGAAGGAGACTTGACTTAGGGTGGTGAGTGCACAGCACAATGTATTGTAGAACTGTACATAGAAACCTATGTAGTTTTATTAATCAATGTCTCCCCCAATAAATTAAATTAAAAAGAAAAAATTAAGGGACAATTAAATGATGAGCATAATAAAAATTTAAGTGTAGGGGAGGATCCAAGATGGCTGCTCGGGTAGACATCTAGCCGCGGCAGCACACAACAATTTCAATGGAATACAACTAAAATGTAGAGTGGACATTGCCCAGAGCTACAGGTAGTCAACTGACTGAAATTTCTACAACAAGAAGGAAAGAGAAAACCAGAAAGAAAATCAGAGGAGCTGAAAAAAAGCCTAAGGTACGGAGACATGCTGCGCGCGCCTGCCCGCCCGCACGCGCGCACGGAGAGGTCGCAGCCGGAGAGGAGGAGAGGGCGGGGAGCCGCCTTTCCTTCCCTAGCAGGAAGGAAATAAAACCCCCAGCCTGGGCTGAACCCCCGAACCGGCAGCGCTGAGCCCCCCCAAACCGTCAGCGCTGAGCCCCCCCGAACCTGCAGCGCTGAGCCCCAGTTATGGGCCAGACCCTGGGGACCCAGGCTCCGGCGGGAGGAGACAGGGCCGTGAGGCGGAAAAATGGCGAAAGGCAGGTCCCCGGGAGTCGCGCGCAATGCGCACAGAGGACTGAATGTTGACTCTGATGCTGGGTTGCCCTAGCCGGAAGAAACAAGGCCTCCGGTGGCGCTGAGCCTCAGTCCGGACTGCTCCGAACCCCAGTTCTGGGCCAATCCCTGGGGACCCAGGCTCAGGCAGAGGGAGACGGGGCTGTGAGGTGGAGTCCGGGGAGAGCGGCGAAAGGCCGGGCCCCCGGGACTCGCGCAAACTGCTCGCAGAGGACAGTCTGTGGGACTTGCGCAAACTGCGCGCAGAGGACAGTCTGTTGACTCTGATGCTGGACTTCCCTAGCGGGAAGGAGAAAAAAAAAAAGCTCTAGGCTGGGGGAACGCAGAGGGGAGCGGAAGCCCCTGCCGGGCTCCAGCCAACCGGGCACCAGCAAGGAGGCGGGCCACGGGGCCCCTGGGGGCGTGAGTGCCCCTGAGCCTTTGACCACTGAGCTCGGGCAATGGAGCCAAGGCCGGGGGCTGCTTCCTGGGCGGCGCCGTCCCGGCAACAGGCTGAAGCAGCACAGGAGTCCGCGGAGAACAAAGGGGTGCCACAGGCCAACCTGCTGAGCTCCCAGGACAAGGAGGAAGAAACCAAAGAAGTTCTCAATGTGAAGAAATCAAGTGAGAGCAAACAACAGTAAAATTACTTAAGAAAGAATACAAAGAAGATCTTGAAAAATCAAAGACTAAGTCAGAACTCAACTCACCAGCCAACATTGCAACATAAATGCGTTTTAAAAAGAAAAAAAAAGGACAGAATGTTGGAACAGCGACGGCCAGGCCTAGAGTGGCCAGGCACAAGGCAGTGGCAGCCAGACCCGGAGCAGTTACGGCCAGGGCCCAGAACAACAGCAGCCAGAACCAGAGCATCAACAGCCAGCACTGGAGTAGCCAGACCTGGGGCAGTGGCAGCCAGGCATGAGGCGGAGGCGGCCAAGCCCAGGGTGGCCAGTCCAGGAACACCCAGACCCGGAGTGGCCGGGCCCGGAGAAGCCGGGCCCAGAGCAGCCGGGGTGGGAGCAGCCAGACCCAGAACAGCAGTAGCCAAGCCCAGAGCATCCAGGTCAGGAGTGGCCAGGCTCGGAGCGGCCGGGCGCGGGGCAGCCGGGCCCAGAGCAGCCGGGTCAGGTGCGGCCAGGCCCGGAGCAGCAGCTGCCAGGCTGGGAGCGGCCAGGCCCGGGGGAGCAGTCGGGTCGGGTGCGGCCAGGCCCGGAGCAGCGGCTGCCAGGCTGGGAGCGGCCAGGCCCGGGGGAGCAGGCGGGGCTGGTGCGGCCAGGCCCGGAGCAGCGGCTGCCAGGCTGGGAGCGGCCAGGCCCGGGGGAGCAGGCGGGTCGGGTGCGGCCAGGCCCGGAGCAGCGGCTGCCAGGCTGGGAGCGGCCAGGCCCGGGGGAGCAGGAGGGGCGGGTGCGGCCAGGCCCGGAGCAGCGGCTGCCAGGCTGGGAGCGGCCAGGCCCGGGGGAGCAGGCGGGGCTGGTGCGGCCAGGCCCGGAGCAGCGGCTGCCAGGCTGGGAGCGGCCAGGCCCGGGGGAGCAGGCGGGTCGGGTGCGGCCAGGCCCGGAGCAGCGGCTGCCAGGCTGGGAGCGGCCAGGCCCGGGGGAGCAGGCGGGGCGGGTGCGGCCAGGCCCGGAGCAGCGGCTGCCAGGCTGGGAGCGGCCAGGCCCGGGGGAGCAGGCGGGGCTGGTGCGGCCAGGCCCGGAGCAGCGGCTGCCAGGCTGGGAGCGGCCAGGCCCGGGGGAGCAGGCGGGGCTGGTGCGGCCAGGCCCGGAGCAGCGGCTGCCAGGCTGGGAGCGGCCAGGCCCGGGGGAGCAGGCGGGGCTGGTGCGGCCAGGCCCGGAGCAGCGGCTGCCAGGCTGGGAGCGGCCAGGCCCGGGGGAGCAGGCGGGTCGGGTGCGGCCAGGCCCGGAGCAGCGGCTGCCAGGCTGGGAGCGGCCAGGCCCGGGGGAGCAGGCGGGGCTGGTGCGGCCAGGCCCGGAGCAGCGGCTGCCAGGCTGGGAGCGGCCAGGCCCGGGGGAGCAGGCGGGTCGGGTGCGGCCAGGCCCGGAGCAGCGGCTGCCAGGCTGGGAGCGGCCAGGCCCGGGGGAGCAGGCGGGGCTGGTGCGGCCAGGCCCGGAGCAGCGGCTGCCAGGCTGGGAGCGGCCAGGCCCGGGGGAGCAGGCGGGGCTGGTGCGGCCAGGCCCGGAGCAGCGGCTGCCAGGCTGGGAGCGGCCAGGCCCGGGGGAGCAGGCGGGGCTGGTGCGGCCAGGCCCGGAGCAGCGGCTGCCAGGCTGGGAGCGGCCAGGCCCGGGGGAGCAGGCGGGTCGGGTGCGGCCAGGCCCGGAGCAGCGGCTGCCAGGCTGGGAGCGGCCAGGCCCGGGGGAGCAGGCGGGTCGGGTGCGGCCAGGCCCGGAGCAGCGGCTGCCAGGCTGGGAGCGGCCAGGCCCGGGGGAGCAGGCGGGTCGGGTGCGGCCAGGCCCGGAGCAGCGGCTGCCAGGCTGGGAGCGGCCAGGCCCGGGGGAGCAGGCGGGGCTGGTGCGGCCAGGCCCGGAGCAGCGGCTGCCAGGCTGGGAGCGGCCAGGCCCGGGGGAGCAGGCGGGTCGGGTGCGGCCAGGCCCGGAGCAGCGGCTGCCAGGCTGGGAGCGGCCAGGCCCGGGGGAGCAGGCGGGTCGGGTGCGGCCAGGCCCGGAGCAGCGGCTGCCAGGCTGGGAGCGGCCAGGCCCGGGGGAGCAGGCGGGGCTGGTGCGGCCAGGCCCGGAGCAGCGGCTGCCAGGCTGGGAGCGGCCAGGCCCGGGGGAGCAGGCGGGGCTGGTGCGGCCAGGCCCGGAGCAGCGGCTGCCAGGCTGGGAGCGGCCAGGCCCGGGGGAGCAGGCGGGGCTGGTGCGGCCAGGCCCGGAGCAGCGGCTGCCAGGCTGGGAGCGGCCAGGCCCGGGGGAGCAGGCGGGTCGGGTGCGGCCAGGCCCGGAGCAGCGGCTGCCAGGCTGGGAGCGGCCAGGCCCGGGGGAGCAGGCGGGTCGGGTGCGGCCAGGCCCGGAGCAGCGGCTGCCAGGCTGGGAGCGGCCAGGCCCGGGGGAGCAGGCGGGTCGGGTGCGGCCAGGCCCGGAGCAGCGGCTGCCAGGCTGGGAGCGGCCAGGCCCGGGGGAGCAGGCGGGGCTGGTGCGGCCAGGCCCGGAGCAGCGGCTGCCAGGCTGGGAGCGGCCAGGCCCGGGGGAGCAGCTGGGTCGGGTGCGGCCAGGCCCGGAGCAGCGGCTGCCAGGCTGGGAGCGGCCAGGCCCGGGGGAGCAGGCGGGTCGGGTGCGGCCAGGCCCGGAGCAGCGGCTGCCAGGCTGGGAGCGGCCAGGCCCGGAGCAGCAGCAGCCAAGTCCAGAGCAACTAGGTCGGGAGCGGCAGTGACCAGACCCGGAGTAGCTGGTTGCGGAATGAACCAGAGCAACAGAGGCCAGGCCCTGAGCAGCCAGGCCCAGAACAGCTCGCTCCTTGCCTGCCCCTGCCCCACGGCTGCTTCTCAGACATGGCTGGAAACTTTCGTGGGAACTTGAGGGTCTGCTGAATCAAGTGATGAAGGCTTAGATCTGGATGTGTTGAGTTAGTTTAGGACTGGGGTGTTGATCTGTGAGTGCCTTGGGTGGGGCCTGGATGAGGCTGGTTGACCTAGTGGGAAATGTCTTTTGTGTGAAGTGTATCATTGGGCATGTGGAGGTATTATTGATATGAGAAAATGCTAAGTAACTGATTTACTATCTGAAAAGGGATTTACTATTGGGGAAATTGAGGGAAGAAGAGACTGAACATAAACTGCACCTATGGATGAGGACAATGGGGGGTGGGGGGGGACGGAGGGTGGGGTGGGAACCTGGTGGAGGGGGGAAGAAATGAGGAACCTTTGTAATAATATGAACAATAAAGACTGATAAAAAAAAAAAAAAAAAAAAAAAAAAAAGAAAAGTATCTAAAAGCCAATTGATTTAATATCATTAACAGTTAACCCCCAGAAGCACCGATGTGATAAGTTTTTTTGCAAATTTGCTTCCAAATAAAAATAAAAATAATCAAAAAAAAAAAAAAATTTAAGTGTAAAAACTAATCTTATATAATAAAGGGTAATATGCAAATTGACCCTGATAGCAGAACGACTACTTGACCAGTCACTATGAGGCTCACTGATCACCTCTCAGTCCTTTTCCCCAGCTGGCAGGCTCCAATCACCCAATAGTAAACAGGGAACCACGGGGGTGGTCCCACCAGTCATCCCACATATAGAGGACCACCCACAGTGAGGGCGGGGCTGCGAGAACAGCCAACCTATTGGTCTCTTCCCCTGGCCTTAGGCTCCAATCACCCAATTATGAATAGGAAACAAGGGGTGGATAGCAGCGGGGAGGGGGGGGGGTAGAGGAAGGGAGAGGGGGAGGCCAGCTGCAGGCAGCCAGGGAAGATGGCCCTGATTACAGGCCAGGGTATCTTGGATCAGGGTGGGGGTTCCCTTGGGGCATGGGGCAGCCTGGGCGAGGGGCCTGTGGTGGTTTTCAGGCCAACCATGGCCCCCGGCGATCCAAGCTCCCACCTCCTCCTTTCTTTTTTTTTCTTTCTTTTTTATCTTTTTTTTTTCAGTCCCTCCTTGATCAGAGGCGTGGGCCAGCTGGAAGCAGGTATCTGGGATTTATTTATCTTCTATAATTGAAACATTATAGCCTTGAGCAAAGGCCAGGGCCAGAACAGGAATCTTGGCTTCCTCCATCGCCAGGGGCAATCCAAGCCTCCTGCTTGCTCCAGCTCTGTGGCTGTTGCCATTTTGGGTTAATTTGCATGTTTGGACCTGATTGACTGGTGGGCGTAGCAGAGGTATGGTCAATTTGCATGTTTCTCTTTTATTAGATAGGATTGTTTCAGCCCCCTTTCTTCTCTGAGCACCCACTCTCTAAAATCAATAAATTTTTAATATTTGCCTGATGCTTCCCTGTTGAAATATCTTTTACCAAATGCCATTTGACCTAACCTCCACTGTCCCTTCACCCTCTCTAGACCCAGACCAAGACTCAGCCACTTTTTCCTCAGATCCTCTTGCCTCACAGTATTCCCATCCTGGGGTTCCTACCTGGAAGGCATACTGTTTTAAAGTGGCCACGACTTCTTTGAACAGGATGCGGGAGGTCAGGGTGTGTCCATGGTAAACAACAGGCTCCCCATTAGGTCCATCCCAGACATCCACCTCCACACAGCGGCACCCTCGCTTCAGGGCCCTGCAAGAACGCCAAGCCCCCAGGGATAGGAGGGGTCAAGGTCTAGTCTTCCACCTGGGGACCCTCTCCCCACTATGGAGAGAACAGTGCACTTACCTCTCAAGATCCCTGTTCAAGCTACATCTCCACAGACCATTCTCTGCCCACTGGAACCCTGCTATAGCTCACACTGATCTCCAACACTTCCCCTCACTCCCAACCAACTCACAATCTTTCCTTAGTAAGTCATCACATACTGCCTCATGATGCTCTGATGTTCTGGTTGTATTTCATTATACAACACCTGAGTTACTCAAACTCTCAGTAAATGTATTTTCTCTACTGGACCTCCTAGGGCAGAAACTATATGTTCCATTAATCTTTGTATCCTCTGAAGCTTCTGGATCAGTAGTAAGTGCAAAGATATCTTGACTTTCTATCTAATGCATGATGGGTCACCATAAAAGTAGTTACCATTTATTAGGTATTGACACAGATTATATCATTGAATCCTCACAACAACCTAGACAGAATTGACACTGTTATCATTTCTGTTTCACAAGTGGGGAAAGTGAGGCATAGGGAGGTGAAAAATTTAGTTCCAGAGTAAGTGAGGTGCTTAGGATTGGACCTTAAATGGTCTGACACCAGAACCTATGCTTTTAACTCCTATGCTCTACTGCAAGCATGTCAAACTCACGGCTGGCGGGCCACATGTTCAATAAACGAGGCATGTGGCCCGCTGGCTGCGAGTTTGACATGCTTGCACTGCCTTTCATTTAACATTGAGTTTTATTTATTTATTTAAAGTAAATCTGTCAGGGCCTGAGTTCAAAAAGAGTTCCATAGCCTATGAAAGAGAGAAGCTCCATTTACTCATAGGTTTTAATACCACTCTCCCACAGGTCTTCAGTATCTCCTCCAAGTTTCTCAGGTATCTAAAGATCCTTGGCCCCCAAACTCACCCCTCACAACATATTTTAGATTCCTGTGACCGCTAACAGTGTCCTAAATTTTCCACAGGTGTTCCCTTCTCATGAGCTTGATTCCTCCCCCCTTCTCCCCCCACTTCCTCCCCACTGCACCGTATATATCCCTCGACGCTGCTCTGGCCATAAAGCTGGTCCCCCACCAGGTAGGTGTTGTGAGAGGTGTTGATGTAGTAGTGGTTCAGGGGTTGAGTCATATCCTGGTAGACGGGGAGGCAGGATGGATTGAAGATGTCTCCGTCCTTTGAGTAGAGGTAACTGAGGAAGCCATCCATGCTCAGCACATGCCGCAGCTTGCCTAAGGTGTGGAGAAGGGGGACACTGGGATGAGAGAACTCTGGGAGCACCCCAGCACACCCAGTCCACCCCACTCCTCTCCAGGGTCTTGCCTGTCATATGATGTCCACTCCCAGCCTCCAGAGCCTAGCTTGCCCCCGTCCAGTGTCTATCATTTCAATTATCCCCACCCTCAGAGAATGTTAAAGCTACAAGGGGAATAATTACAAACATTCTAGTTCAATGCTGTGCAATAGAACTTTTTTACGATGGAAACTGCACTGTTCGATATGATAGCTTCTAGACACATAAGGCTACTGAGCACTTAAAATGTAGCTATGTAACTGAGGAACTAAATTTTAAAATATATGTTTTTATTGATTTGAGAGAGGAGGGAAAGGAGAAGGAGGGGGGAAAGAGAGAAAAAGAGAGAAACATTGATCATTTGCCTCCTGTACTCCCCTGCTGAGAATCAAGCCCTCAACCTGGGCATGTGCCCTGCCTGATCAGGAATTGAACCAGCAAATTTTTTAAAATTTATCCTCACCCAAGGATATTTTTCCATTAAATTTTAGAGAGAGTGAAAGGGAGGGAGGAGGAAGAGAAAAGAAAGAGAAACATCAATGTGAAAGAGACACATAGACTGGATTTCTCCTCATGCATCCCAACTAGGAATGGGGTTCAAACCCATAACAGAGGTACATGCCCTTGACTGGGAATCGAACTCAAGACACTTCAGTCCTCGGCCGATGTTCTAATCAGTAAGCCAATCCGGTCAGGAAAGAACCAGCAACCTTTTGGTGCAAGGGAGGACACTCAACCAACTGAGCCATACCCACCAGGACAGGAACTGAATTAAAATTTTTTATTTTAGTTTAAACAGTCACATGGTGCTCATGGCTACCATAATGGGCAGCACAATATTCAGTTTGAAGGGGTAATTTTATAGATAGGGAAACTGAGGCCCAGAGAGAATCAGAGTCAAAGGCTTGTTAGCCACACGACCAAGTTATCTTTGTTTTATTCCCTGAGCTGTGTAGCTGCTGCCAACTATGATCTAAGGGTTATCTTCCTATTGTCAATTCCCATACGGTATTTTGCCTTAGGCCACACTTTCTTCAAGGACCAGATCCTGTCACCCTTCCATAGCCCTCAGCCATTTCAGCATGAGCTTCATACATTTACAACATCAATGACTAACAGTTTTTGAGCACTTGCTCTATACAAAGGATTTTACATTCAATATCTCACCAACATGATGAGGTAGATGTAATATAATCTGTTTTGAGAGGTTGGCTAACTTATCCCATGTACATAACCAGTAAGTGTAGGGACTTGAACCCAGACAGCTAGGTATCAGAGCCACATTCTACACCACTGGGCTCTACAATTTAACTGAGGGAAACATTGCTGGGGGGGGGGGGGGGGGAGTGTTCCATTGGAAGGCAGAACAATTATATTCTAAAAAAAAAAAAAAAAAACAATTATATTCTCATGCCCAGTTTCTTGTTCCAGATTTGATAAGGCCTGAAGATGCTGGAGCGTGGCAGCAACTTTCATTCTTTATAGTAATACATCAGGTCAATAGGTTAAGTCCACAGCTGCCAGGTACTTTCATATGCATTATTACATTTGATCACCAATTATTTTAAAAATAAGAAAACTGAGTTTCATATTAAGCAACTTAACCGAGGTTACGCAGTGAGAAGCAGAGTGGGAACCTGAGCCCAGGGCTCTTGACTGATACTACCCAGCAGGCAGAGTATAGCGTCTGATAGTTGAGTGCAGGGGGAGGGTACAAAAAATGTAATAAATGTAACAGAAGATCCTATTTCTTAACCCTGTGCCATTCCTCTTCTATGTGGTTTTCTGAAATGATTGCTTTCAGTCCCCTTTCTTCTCTGAGTACCCACATGTATCTGCAATTACTGATTTCAACACTTTCTACTTGACTCTAAGTTCAATGAATACATTGCCCTTGTCTTGACCTACTCCTGTATCTCTGATGCCTAGCACATAAGTCCTGCCACATTTAGGTATTTAATAAGCACTAGCATAAGTAGTGTGTGAATGAATGAATGAATGAATGAATGAATGGAAGTGGGAATTGAGACTTAGGAAATCTGGGTCACTTGTCCATCTCTCACTCATCTCATCTCTAATCCTTATTCTCTAGCACCAAGTAAGAATCAGATGACCTGGGTTTGAATCCCAATTCCTCCTCTCATTAGCTGTTGGCTTTAAGCAAATAATTTAATTGTTCTAAACCTCAGTTTTTCTCTCTTATACAACTAACTCAATAATAAAACCTATTTCAACAGGTCATTGTAAGGATTAGAAGAGGAAAGGCATGTAGAGATATTGGCACATTATGGAATACTTGACAAAAGCCCAATCTTGATTTTCAAAGATTGTAGTAAGAACTAAATGAAAGTGCCTTGTAAATAATTTCTTTATATATAAAAGGCTAATATGCAGGGGCCCCTTGGGAGTTCATCTGGGAGACCAGAAGTTCAATCGTACACTATGACTTGCACTGACCACCAGGGGGCAGCATGGACCATGGCGGGTGACCAGCAGCACCTAGGGCATTGAGGGAGCAAGGGAAGGGGGAGGCAGGGAGGTGGGGAACCTGATCGGCCCTGATTGCCGCCAGACCTAAGGACCCTATCCATGCATGAATTTTGTGCATCAGGCCTCTAGTATTATTAATAATGTACTAGTAAATTCCTCACATTCGGAAGGGAATGGAGAAAAGGAAGATGTCTACTAAAGGGCAAGGAGAAAATTTGAGGGCAGAGAGGGCATATTTTAGGTGTGTTTGATAAATGCTGAATGATTGACCTCATCATCATCCCCCTCAGCCAGGGGCTGACTAGCTTCCTAGGACTTTAAGGGACTTAGAGACTTCAAGAACCATTTGGTAAACTCGGAGAAAGCCCAGGAAAGGGCAGAGAGCCAGCATTTAAAGTCATAGCTGGCTCTCTGGGACCATGAAGGGAACCATGAAGGGAACTAGAGGAAAATGAATCATATGTACTAGAGGAGAAGAGACCAAAGCAAGAGGACCAAGTGTTTTATATTTCCACTGAGGCCAGAAGCTGATATCAGGAAGAACTTCTAGCAAGTGAATTATGTGCAACATGAGCATGGTGGAGGACAGGGGTCTTGTGAGAGACCTAGCATCACAGAGGATACTTGTCTTATCTAGGCAACAAATGGAAATGGCTGCACTCATTTGAGAAGTGGCAGAATGAGATGAAGATGATTGGGCTGAGACTGAGGTAAGGGTGGACTCAGCCTTCCTTGAGTTAGACAGAAAGCTGCTGATCTCTGGACCTTTCTGGTCATGGTACCTCTCTGTTCTGGTCCTCTTACCACTTTCTGAAGGCTCATAACGGTCAATGAGTGCCAGAGCAAGGTCAGAAGCATGCTCTCCTTCTTTCTGCTCCTCTTGAAGGAAATCCACAAATTCCAACAGGGTCAGCTTTTGCCCATCAGCCGAAAAGTTTCCAAACAGTTCCTGCACCTCAATACGCTTAGTCAATGCCTTATAGAACTCTATAAATTCTTCTCCTTCCAGAGTGTCAGATTGGGACGTGTCTGCTGCCTGCAAGAGGATTTAGAAGAGATTGGACAAACACTTTAACAGCAACTTTTATGGCTTTTACTTATAATATATATATATATTGTTTTTTTTTATAGAGAGAAAGAGAGAGGATAGAGAGTCAGAAACATCGATGAGAGAGAATCATCGATCAGCTGCCTCCTGCACACCCTTTACTGGGGATGTGCCTGCAACCAAGGCACATGCCCCTGACTGGAATTGAACCTGGGACCTTTCAGTCCTCAAGCCGACGCTCTATCCACTGAGCCAAACCGGTTTTAGCGCCTTTACTTATCTTATAAGGACAGTCTTACTGACAGATAGATCCAAGTATGTTTCCACAGAATACATGATACTTGGTGTTCATAAAAGTCATTTCAAAATTTCAGCCAAAACTGGTTTGGCTCAGTGGATAGAGCGTCGGTCCATGGACTGAAGGGTCCCAGGTTTGATTCCGGTCAAGGGCATGTGCTTTGGTTGCGGGCACATCCCCGGTGGGGGGTGTGCAGGAGGCAGCTGGTCGATGTTTCTCTCTCATTGATGTGTCTGACTCTCTCTCTCTCTCCCCTCCTCTCTGTAAAAAAATCAATAAAATATATTAAAAAAAAAAAAAAAGCAAAATTTCAGCCATACCATTTGCTACTAGAAAAAATTTTCACAAGGAAAGAATTGAAATCCACAAAGGTCAAAATATACCTCCTTCTATTTATTCACATTCTAGATAGAGTGTTCTATTGTTCTAAGCACATTTGAAAGTCTGAACATGGACAGACAAGTCCTAGAGGTCTGATATAATAACATATTATTATTTACATTTTATAAGATTATAAATCATTTTTCCAACAAGACTAAAGAGTAAGGAGCATGGCCTACACTTCACACTGAGCCTGGCATAGTGCTAAGGGCACATAATAGAGATTCAATAAATGAATGTTATTGGATTGGATCAGAGTACCTATGGTCAAGTGAAGGTGTGTCCATGTTTGGTTTCTGCAAATCCTTTCCTGGAAGACTCACCTGGAAAAGCTGAAAGGCATGTTCTTCCTCCATTTCCACATTCATCAGGAGTAGTAACCGCTGGACTTCGTGGAAACTCATCCGACCATCCTGGTTTTTGTCTCCACGCTGGAACCAGTCACTCAGCCATCGAGGTCCGAGTCAAGGCAAAAGCACTGTGTGTGTTTGTATGTGCAGATGTGTGTGCATGCTCATCCACTGACATCTCTTCCTATCTCTCCTGCCTGTCTATCCCCTACACAAGTGAACTTTCCACATGAGCTTCTAGAATACCACCCCAGCCAGAGTACCTATCTATCTCATCCCTGCATGGATCAGGTGCCGGCAGGTACTTGTTTTTTTGCAGGAAGTCCAGGTTCCTTAACATAGAAGATAATATCTCCTGTGCCCCCATAATCTTGCCCCAACCCAGTCTGCTCAACACATCTCTGTCCTTTCTGCACTTTAGCCAGAACCCCAACTCCCCACTCTGTGAGGCCCCAGCTCTCCAGCGCTACAATTTCCTGTCTCCGGGCCTTTACTCATGCTGTCCCTTCAGGCAGGGGTGTCTTTACCTCCTCTCTTAATGTTCAAATTATACTCATTTTCAAGGCTCCGCTAAAATACTACTTCCTCCCTAAAGCTTTCTGAGAACCTTCTCAACTAGAATTAAATACTTCTTCCTTTGAATAGCCTCAAATAATCTAAGTACCATAACAGTTCCATGGTACTTAGATTATTTACACAACCCCATCCTCTCCACCAAGGAAAACAATATCTGAGTCCCATTTATCTTTGTACCTCTACAGCCTGGCACAGAGTGCCTGATACATTCTGTTTAATAGCTGGTGAATGAGTGGATGAATGAATGAAAGAACTAGCATAGAAAGTGAATACAATCTAGGAAACTTATAGTGAATTGACACCACTAAGCCTTTGACGGGATTGCTTCCCACCCCTGTGGTCGTTAATGCCAGTAGGATCTTCTGCTCAGCGCTCAGGATCAGCACCTTGTTTGGCCCTTGGCCTCTTGCTGTTCCTTCCCGCAAACCTAGGAGGCCTGATGCATGCCCAAACCCTGCCTGGCTATGCTTGGCCATCTCAAACCTCGATTCCTCCTTCAGCATTCTGTCTCACATCAGTCTGAACTGCCCCCACCCACCACCTCTGGACTCTTGGGCTTCCCTAGCCCTGTACCCACTGCCACCTGTCTCCAGCCCCCTGCAGCATCTGCCTCTTCAGTGACCTTGGCCCCCGCTCTGGCTCCATCCTGCCCCGATACTGGTCCAGCCTCTCCTTTTGGTCCATGTTGGTGACGAAGTCCACCAAGAGCTGGAGCCCCTTTATCCAGATCTGGGCCTCTTCCACACTGTTGGCCACCAGGTCCAAGTTGGCGCGGCGGCCATGGAAGACAATGGTGAAGCCCTGCTCCAGGGGGAACTCCTCTGCCAGGCTGCGCAACAACTCAGATTCGTGGCCTTTACGCACCGTCTCCACGTCAGAGATTGAGACTGCCAGAGAAGAAGCAAGTGGGAATGCTGAGGAAGAGAGTTTGCCCGATTGCAGGAGCTAATGACCAAGGACCACTAATTACTCCCTTCTTCTCTGTGAAGCCAAAGAGAGGAGGAACCCCAGCCTCCACGGGCTAAAACCCCAGAAGCTTTAGTATAAGGAGATGCAGACTCATGGGATTCAGGATTCCACACGAATCACTGCTGTGTCCCTAGGCAGCATGTCAGGGGGCCTGCACTGGGCATGAAAGACCTGGCCTCCAGCTTTCAGCTGGCAGTGTGACACAGACAAAAGAACTTAATCCTCAGTGTCCTCATCTTCAATAAGGAGTGGCTCCTTACATGGCCAGTGGACATGGTGATCACAAAAGGACTGGTGGGGCTGACAAATGGAAGCACTGTCACAGGGTGGAAGCAGTTACACCAGAGCATAATATGCCCATTTTCGATTCTTCCACTCCAGGTTTGAGAGTGTTCCCTTTCCGGATAGGAGAGAGCCAGAGAAATGCTCCCACCCTCTTTCCTCAGCTGGAGCTGGTGTGGAATGTGAGCTTTGATATGTCTCTAAAGTAAATTCCCTTAGATACGTCCTGTGATAATATTTTTAGAGGGATCATAAAGTGTTCAGCCAATAGAATGCACACTTATGATACATTTATGACATTTTAAAATATTCACCATAATGGCTAATATTTATTAAATGCATCTGGTCCCAGGTTCCATGCTTTAGACATTAATTTATTGAGCCTTGTAATCTACTAGACAGGTACTGCTTAACATCCATATTACAGATGAGGGAACTGAAGCTTAGTTTAAGTAACTTGTCCAAAGCCACTCAGCTAGAAAGTGGCAGAGCCAGGGCTATAATCCAGCCAGCCAGATGCCTGAGATCATGCTCTTATTATAATAAAGATAACAAGATACATAATGTATGATTTAGTGAGCCTTGTTATATGCCAGGACTCTTCTAAGTCCTTTACATGCAATAATTGGTTGTATCCTAATAACAGCCTTAAGAGGCAAATATTGTTATAATTTCCATTTTATAGGCAGGCGTAGATACATGTGGGACAGCACAAGGCAGCATCATAGGATCCCGGTGCCTCTCCTGCTGCCAGTTGCTGGGCTCCTTGGGATTATATCCACCCATATGCCCACCCTTAGCTATTTCATGTTACTCACAGGTGGCCTTGGCTCTGCCTCCAACCTGCCGGGCATGCCAGACAGTCATGCCATCTTCCTGAAGTTTGAAGTATCTTAGCCTCTTCCAGTTTTTGGTTCTCACTTTGCGCATCATCATACCTTTCTGCATCAGCAGCACTTCTTGACTGATGGGTAGCCCTGGGCCAGGAGAAGCAGGGGCTGGATAGCCAACCAGGGATGTGGAGGACCCAGAAGGAGCTCTTGAATAGGGGTTCAGCATCCTCCCCGTCCCCGGGCTGCCTCCCCACGCCCTCTCCTGCAGGGTACTCACGGCCTTGCAGCAGGGATGCCATCACCCACTGCTCCACCAGCTGGCGCCAGAGTCACCTAAAGGGGCAAAGAGGAGCAAAAGACTGTTAATGTTGGTGATTTTAGACTAGAACAAGGGAGGAAGAGGAGGGAACCAATGTTTCCTGACTGCCCACTCTGTGTCAGGCATTTCATCTATATAGTCTGTAGCTCTTTTTACTTCTAATTTGGATTTGGTGACTACAAGGCTTAGAAAGGCTAAGAAACCAGCCTCAAGTCACATCGGGATTCAGAATTTGATGCCAAGTATGTCTGATTCCAGAACCTTTGCTGCGTCCCATTAGCCATTAGAGAGGGCTAATCAAGGTCTTCCTGCTAAATACTCCTCTCTTTCCCAATACCCCCTATTCCACAAGATAACCTCATGTCACACTGCTCAGCTCATTATTAAAAACCACTATCTTGCTGGCTGCATTTGCAGAATCTGGCATCTCTACATCCTAGTCTTTTTTTCTCCAGATAAAATCATCTTAAACATCCTAACTTCCCTATTCTGGGATCCTTCTCTATGCTCCCCTATGGACCATCCAGCTTTGAAATCTTTATTTTTAATTTATTTTACATTTAAATTATTTTTGTTAATCCTCCCTGAGATTATCTTTTCATTGATTTTTAGAGAGAGTGGAAGGAAGAGAGAAAAACAGAGAGAAACTTGATTGCTTCCTGCACGGAGCTGTGGGGCTGGGGATTGAACCTGCAACTGAAGTATATGCCCTTGACCGGAATCGAACCTGGGACCCTTTGTTACGCAGGCCCATACTCTACCCACTAAGCCCAACTGGCTAGGGCCTTTTCTTTTCTTTCTATATTTTTTAAAATTGATTTTTAGAGAGGGAGAGGAAAGGAGAGAGAGAGAGAGAGAGAGAGAGAGAGAGAGAGAGAGAGAGAGAGAGAGATTTGTTGTTCCACTTATTTGAGCATTCATTGGCTGATTCTTTTATGTCCCCTGACCAGAACTCCAACCCAGAACCTTGGCATATCAGGATGTTACTCTAATCAACTGGGCTACTTGACCAGGGCTCCTGAAGTTCCTTTTGTCTCGTCTACAACATTTCATGTTGTATGTAGCTAAATAAGCCGTCTTCTTCTCCTTCACATGGTAAAGCATACTTTATACTCCTTTTCATGACAATTATTCTGAGAGTTTTAATGGGCCATATAAATTATAAAGTCTAAGAACTACTAAAAAAAAGTGCTTCCTTTATGATATATGCTAATTTAGGACCTGCTTCATTTGTCCTAGTAAGTAACAACAAACTTCCCTTGAAAGGAACTAGAAGATTTTATATATAGCCACTTTGATTCTTTTTTTTTTTAATGTTTTTTTAAGATATATTTTATTGATTGGGGGGAAAATATATATATAAAATTGATTTTCTTACAGAGAGGAAGGGAGAGGAATAGAGAGCTAGAAACATCAATGAGAGAGAAACATCGACCAGCTGCCTCTTGCACACCCCCTACTGGGGATGTGCCCGCAACCAAGGTACATGCCCTTGCCCGGAATTGAACCTGGAACCTTTCTGTCCACAGACGGACGTTCTACCGCTGAGCCAAACCAGTATCGGCCACTTTGATTCTTGTAGAGGGCCGCCTGGGAAGGCACATGGGCCATTTTCTTTATTTATCCTCAGCTGAACTCAGGGTGTATGCAGAACCAAGCCCTGGGAACATGTTTCCCCAAGATGGAGGACATGTTGTCAGCTTGGCCTTCACATCAGCCCAGATGTCGGCAGGGGCGGGACTAGATATGTAAATCCAGACATGCTAGGGCCGACTTAAGAATGCAAATAAGTTGGTGTTACTTCCTGGTATTGGGGAATAAAATAAATGCTCTGGCAGGGGTCATTGTCATTATCATCATTGTCTTCTTCCTGCCTCTCCAGCAGACAGGATGGCGGCCCACCCAGCTCCCAGCTTAAAATCTATCTCTGCATCTTCTCTCTTTATTTCTATGATTTCTCAACCCCTGGCCGCCTCCACTTAGAACCGGTTCATTCATCTTTTTCCGTGCGGGATGCAGAAAAGGGAGATCCCCTAGCCGAAACAGGTAGGGGTGTGCAAGAGGCAGCTGGTTGATGTTTCTCTCTCATTGACGTTTCTAGCTCTCTATCTCTCTCCCTTCCTCTCTGTAAAAAATCAATAAAATAAAATAAAATTATTTATATATATATATATATTTATATATATATATATATATATATATTTTTTTTTTTTTTTAAAGAAAAAAAGAAAAAGAAAAGGGAGATCCCAGCCATGTCCTGCCCCCGCCACATCAGGCCCCCACAGATTCTAGTTTTGCCCCTATAAGAAATACTCAATTCTTTTATTTTTTTTTAAATATATTTTTTTGATTTTTCACAAAGAGGAACAGAGAGGGATAGAGAGTTAGAAACATCGATGAGAGAGAGTCATCGACCAGCTGCCTCCTGCACACCCCCTACTGGGGATGTGCCCGCAACCAAGGCACATGCCCCTGACCGGAATCGAACCTGGGACCCTTCAGTCCGCAGGCCGACGCTCTATCCACTGAGCCAAACCGGTTCCGGCAAGAAATGCTCAATTCTTGACAGTAAAGCAACAGACTGTCAAATTACAGCGGGGAGAATAGGGAAATCTGGGGGAGACAAGAGATCAACCTAAGGACTTGTATGCATGCATATAAGCAAAACCAATGGATGAAAAACTCTGGGGAGGGAAGGCATGTATGGGTATGTGGGGGGGCAATGGAAAGATATGTACACATATAATACCTTAATTTAAAAAAAGAGAGATTTCTTCTAATGCAGGAATAAATAAATAAATGCTCAATTCTTGACCAAATCATTCAGAAACTGGCAAAGCCCATGAAACATAAATTTCTATGCTTTTGTATAAGCAAAGTACCTACACTTGAATAGAAATGTTGTGCTTTTTAATTAATAAGGTTAAAAATGTTGTCATTGACGAACATCTGAAAAACTAAAAGAATCTCTGAAGCAATCATTGATTAAGGCTCCATAAAAACATCATGCAGCCTGGCCATGTGGCTCAGTTGGTTGAGCATTGCTCCTTGCACGGAAGGATGGCCTATTGAATTCCTGGTCTGAGCATGTGTCCAGGTTATGGGTTTGGTCCCTGGACAGGGTGCGTGCAGAAGGCAACTGATTGATGTTTCTCTCTCACATCAATGTGTTTTTTTTTCCCTCTCTCTCCTTCCCTCTTCCTAAAAATATCAATAAAAACATTTTTTAAAACTTAAAAAAAAATACATCATGCAGCTCAACTCTATATTTTACTACTTAAAAAGCAGAAGTCTAGAAAAGTGACTCTTCTGAGGTCACAAAGCATATTAGTGCTTTATGTCTCTGGTGGGAAGAGCCTGTAAAGTCACCTGGGGATAACTAAGTCTTTGGAAAGAAGGCAGAGGTCACTGAAAATACAGCTTCCCTGGCTGTAGCACCTGGAAAAGGCTTTCTCAATGAGTAGCAGTGTGCAGGTGTCAGAGGAATGGAGAAGGCTGAGAATCAGTCTGTACCTAAGTGGGAAGGAGAACTCAAGGCTTCTCTCAAGAGAGAAAGAGCCCTGCAATAGCCCCCAAAAAAGAGAAGGCTGTGCTGGCTGAGACCGAATATGAGAGCCGGGGTGAGAAACTCCTGAAGGGAAGAAGGGCTGCAGAGTGCTTCCGGGAGACGGAAGAGCATGTCTGTTTTCCTGGGTAGAGACACACATTTGGAACCTGAGGCTTGCAAAAGCTATATTAAGACTGAAGTAGAGCGGAAACCGGTTTGGCTCAGTGGATAGAGCGTCAGCCTGCGAACTGAAGGGTCCTGGGTTCGATTCTGGTCAAGGGCATGTACCTTGCAGGCACATCCCCAGTGTGTGTGTGTGTGGGGGGGGAGGGGGTGCAGGAGGCAACTGATCAATGTCTCTCTCTCATCAATGTTTCTAATTCTCTATCCCTCTCTGTAAAACATCAATAAAATATATTTAAAAAAAAAAAAAAAAAGACTGAAGTAGAAAGTAACAAACAGGTCCCTCTTAAGTACCTCAGGTTCTCAGACTCTGGGGTGAGGTGAGGATGGGGGTCAGCCTGGAGCTGAAATTGAAACCTCCTGGCCAACAACCTATCATATCACCACTCTGCACTTCAGCTCCCATGTCTGGGGCATAGGGACTGTGGGATGGGGGGCCTCGGCCCTGGGAGAAGACAGAATTCCCTGACCTTACGCCTGGGTCCAGGGGCCACACAATGACGTCCTAAAACATGGGAAGCCTGAGAACAGAGCCCAAGTACCAGGATGCCCCTATTTTGGAGCCTCTCAGACCAGCTTTAGAAAGTCCTTTTATTCTCTTTAGTCAAACACTTACAGCCCCAGAACTTGGCATGCTCTTCAAACCCTGCTCGCATTCCTGAATCACTATTTCAAATCTGTATCTAGGTGACATGTGGCCATGCATAAGAGGGCCAGTTTCAACACAAGGAGCTACAGAATGTCAGAGCTGGACTTCATTTTTAGAGAAAAGAAGGGAGCACTAGAAAAATTAGCTCAACTGCCTGAGTCACCTAATGAATCAAGTGGCAGAAAGTAGAATAACAACCAAGGTCTCCACATGACCAGCTCAGAGATCTCACCAAGACTCTGCCCTTAGAAAGAGCTTTCACGAGAAGCAGGGCTAAGAATCAATGAAGAATATCAAAGTTTTGTCTTTCCTTTCCATCATTTCTGTCTCCTCCATATCCCACAAATCAGCTTTTCTTTCTTACTTTTCTTTTCAAAAAAATATATTTTATTGATTTCTTACAGAGAGGAAGGAGAGGGATAGAATCAGAAACATCTATCAGCTGCCTCCTGCATACCCCTTACCGGGGATGTGCCCGCAACCAAGGTACATGCCCTTGGCTGGAATCGAACCTGGACCCTTCAGTCCGTAGGTCAATGCTCTATCCACTGAGCCAAACCTGTTTTGGCTTTCTTACTTTTCATTTTCTTTCTTCTCCCCA